CCGGGAGAGGAGGGCCTGTCGGACGATTTCACAACCGCAGGAGCCTGCTCGTCGGCTACGAAATCCTCCTACGAGGATCTGACAGAACAGAACCAGCCAGCCAAGGACCGGCGGAGACTCAAGAGGCAGGACTGCATTGACACTAAAGAGACAGAGTGCTGAGAGCAGACAGCCAGCACTGATATGTGTTTTAGGGAACATGCAAATACTTTCTGCATTAAATACATTTCTTACTACAAATCACAGCGAGTGTTGAACAGTAATAGCATTGTGTTTTTATAGGTCATATTTGGTGTTTAATAGATCTAAGGACAACAATTCAGCTGACACTATTCAGTCAGCTGTAACTTGGATTGAATCACCAGAGAAAAATGTTGTGCCTTTTTCAGTTTTTTATGGGGTCCTTGGCCACATGAAGTCTGGGAGATCTGAGTAGGTCTGTGGAAATTAATCTACCGCCGGCCGGTTGCCCTAACACATCAGAGTTAAATTATATTTTTGTTGTAACCCAGTGGTTAAAAGGTTTCTGAATATACAGGAATACAGATTACAGGCTCTATCCACCTTTGCCAGAATATCATGTTATAAAAAGTGAGCTATGGTTGTGGCTCACAAGTTGTTTTCTATCTATCTATCTTAACAGTTCACTCCACTAACAGTTTAACAGGTGAATGATGTAACATAATATTATTGATGTTGTATATGTGGTTATTTTCCTATTAAAGGAAACATTTCCGTGTGATATATTAAGCAGCCAATGCTAAACCTTGACATAAAAATGACCTGAATCTGTGTCAAAACTGCACTTAAAAGTATTTTTCACATCACTGGAGGATTGAAATAAGTTGTATACATGTTCTTACTGCTGTGTCAACAATGGTTTCTTTTAAAAATGACAGAATTGTATATACTTTGTACTTGCAACATGCTTAATACCGTGCAAGGATTGAGAAGTAGTCTATCAGTATTGGGCTCATTTTATTAGATTATTTGTCATGTGGGCTCTCTGAGCGGTTGATACCTGTATGAAACATGGTGCCTTTTCAGATTTTGTGCCTAACCGTTTTGACTTATTTCTGTGCAAAAAGACATGAAAATTCCCAGTAGGTGAACATAAATCCAGGCAATCCTGAATTTAATATGAAAAGAAGCCAACTGAGGTGCTAGAATGTTATTTTACTGCTTTGTTTTCTGTCCTGTGAGTTATGCACCTCTCTGTTATTTAAAGCCGTCTCACCACTATTGCCTGCTGTGTCACATAAGAAAACTGCAAAATATATATTTAACTGTAGGTCAAGAACTAAAAAAGTAGTTAACATTGTCTAAACTGGATAAATGAACGGTTACAACAAGCAGATGTCCTGTGTGATTCACTCTGATGATGTGTATATTACTAATGTGTCTATGCATATAAATGTCCACCCTTGAGTTCCTTTTTTTTTTTTTCTAGCTTGTATTACCTACACACATCTCAAAATAAAAATCTTTATTGTGCATTTTAAACATTAATACATGATCTCGCATTTTACAAAAACAAATCACAGTTGTTTCATAGGAATATAGTTCAGTGTCAGGCTCTCAGTTTACCAAGTCATTTCTAATAAGTGCAATACATTGTTCTCAGAATATCCAGCACTGCAGGATCTTAAAGGAAGATGTTTTTCCAAACATAGTGTCCTTCATTGGTCACAGAGGAGGCTGCTCTCAGGGCTCTTGGTGTCAACGTCACCCCAGTAGGGCAGGATGAAGGGCAGGTCGGCCACACGACTCTCCAGCAGCCCCCACAGGTGCTCAGCCACAAACCGGTTTCCCTTCTCTGAGAGATGCAGCCCGTCTGACAGGTAGACTGTGTAGTCCTGCAGAGCAGAGGACAAAACGGGATGTCTGAAGCCACAGGACGTTATGAATTTAAAGACAGATTATGTTTGGTCATGGTAAGGTCAATGCTTTCAGTTTGCCTCATATCGAGATAATAGTAAGATCTGAAAGGATAAAATACTTAAGGGCACCATACCGACTATATCTAGAATTGTAAACGCAACAAATAAGACCAATGAAACAAGCTTGGTTTTCTCCTGCCCATTCACTTTATGCTGAAGATGCACTCAGGATATAACAGACTGTTTCTACTGCCTGTTTTACTTTATGGGTCTGATTGTATAATGATTTCCTCAAAATAATCATGTAATTTGGTACTACTTATAAGGAAAATAAAAGAGAAAAGCTCAATTTAAATTCCAGTAAATATTAAGTTATTACTCCTTTACTATTGGATATTTTACTCTCTGTATATCTTTAGATGTTGAACTCAATCCTTGTCTGTACAAAGTTTTTTAAACTTACTTAAGGAATTTAAAAATCTCTCTTACTTAAATAATCTCTAGGTTATACATGTAGTTATCACTACCTAACTCAGTATTTTATTAGTTGTTTACCCTATTACTACCCTATTTGTTAAACACTGTGGGTTGGGTGGTGTGAGCTTTTTTTGTTTTTCTGAAGAGGGCATGCCAGAACCACTGCCTTTCCTTACATTAAATTCCATCTTACAGCTTTCCAAGAACATTATTTGGTACTATTTAGACATTTAAAAAAAATTAATATGCCATATATACAGTATGTGGGAATTTTATGTTACAGTGTCCTCTAACAACACGCAGCAGTGACAGTATCAAGCACTACGCACCTGTCCATCTTTCTGCATGAGTGTCCAGAGGTCCAGGACATCTGTACCACACTGACCGGCAGCCTGGACACACGCCTGGGCGTACTGCCCCGCTACAGAGTTCTGGCGATTGAGAGGAAATCCTGGAAAAGACACAAAGAAGCACTCATGATCTTTATAGACTTGGAGTGTAAAAATGGTCTGTGTGACGATACAAAAACAAGAGAGAAGAAAAATTGTGAAGAAATGCTACCTTTCAACATGCACTCTTTCTCCCAGGCTGCCTCATGAACAGGTGGAGGAGTGATGAAGACCACTCTGTCCGCTGACACTCCAGCTGAAGCCAGAAACCTGCTGATGTCCTTCAGGTTCTCTGAATACTCCTGCACAGGGACGTGCTGTTGGGGGTTTTTATCTGCATGACAGGAACACACAAATGAAGCAAAATCAAAGAGAAACAGAAGGAATGGATGATTCATTTAAGTTTTGGTAGTGGTTTCGGTTCTGTGTATGACACCAGAAAACATTTAACTACTCCAGCAACTTGGTTATGTGCTTCCACTTCCTGGCTTTTAGTGTCAAGCTCCAGACACACTGGATCCTGCTTTTTCCAGTAGCATCTTATCTTGTTAGCCCTCACTGACGGTAAATATCAACATATTTCTAAATCAGATTTTGAGTATGTTGTACGTTCACACTGGAAAAGTGACTAAATCATGTAGGGAGAACAATTTTTGTACTGTTTACACACTGTATTGGCTCACATTCAAGTCACAGAGCAAATGTTGGTGGTTCTAACAAAAAAAAGTGTTTATTTGTCAAATTTGGCAGTGGTATTTTAAAGATACAGTTCTACTGTCCATATATTTATAAAACAAAATACTGAAACCCAACATGGGATCATTTCATGTTAGTAGTATATAATGTTGAAGGATGATGATTTCTTGTATAGTAACTGCACAAAACAGTACAGTATAAAGATTTGCATACAGTATTTTACTGAATAAGATTTGTTTGTAGAATTTATTGGGACACAGCTAACGTTTGCAACACAGGCATTGGGTTAAAACTTTGTCGTCTCGAGGCATCCTGATAGCCGGAAGCTTATGGTGTATACCACTAAACAGCAAATCCCCAGATCTGATTCAAGCCAGGGACCTTTGTTACATGTCATATCTCTTTATCTGTGACCTCCATTCATGTCTTTCTTTATATTGCAGAGAGGCACATAGTAATAAAGGTAAATATACCCCCCCCAAAAAACAAAAACTGTAGTCTCCAACCCAAGAAAGTAAGAAAAAAATACAGAGATCTACAGTTATGAAATCAGTCCAGAGTTATATATCTATCGTTAGAAAATAGTATCATTATTAATCTTCTTAAACAGCCAGTACAGGCTCTGTCAGAGGAGCTGTACCTTCCAGTGCACAGTCGTTGGCTCCAAAGAAGACAGTGACAGCAGCGATGTTGTTGTCTGCTGAGTTTTGACTGTCGATGAGGCGAGGAAGAATTATCTTGGCCCATCTGGAGTTGTAGCCAGACAACCCTCTGTTTACAACATCACACTTTCTAAAGAGGAAACACAAGTCAGACACTTACATTAAGGAAAAAAACTAATCAACAACCAATATATGGAAACTACTTACCTTGCTAGTTTGTTGGATATTTCTGCACCCCAACCATTGGCTTGAAATGAAAACTGAAAGAATCAACAGCACTGCTTTATTCATTCAAAACTTGAGCTAGCAGCTAATGCTAACTCACAAACTTAATTACCCGAGTAGCGGACAATTTGCATGATAACAGTAAAATCGATCAGTGTGTATGACTAACCTGTGTGATGGAGTCCCCAAATAAAACCACTTTAGGCCAAATGACTGTTTTATAATTGGACATCATGAACTTGTAAGTAGGAACTGGCTGCACTGGACAGACACACACTTCCGGTTCGAGGGGCGTGTTGCCATACTTCACAATAAAAGTCGTGACTTTTTTTTTTTTTTTACATGTTAGATATTCAGCAAAATAATTAATTTTATATAGATAAACACTCTAAAGATAAATAATAAAATGTAAATTATTTTTTTTTACATTTTACAAGCCCATTATTGCCACGAAGTAAAAAAAAAATACTTGCTACTGCACAGACATTTTTAACTTTAACTACGGTAAAAAATAAGGTTAAATACCGAATTTTTTCCCCCTTGAAAGTCAAAATTTGGATTTAAATTCTTTAGCATCATATAAATCTTCTGATTTCACCTTTTCAAACGCACCACTGGGGGGCGCTGCAGTAAGACGAGCCTCCCTCCTCATCGCGGATATCCTGTTTTATTTGGCTCTCAGTCAACATGGCGGAGGTCAGGCAACGTCTCGGGAGGGGAGCGTACGACTTTACACAGAAAACATGTAGCCGTTACCTCCTGGAGAGTCAGACGAAGCAACACAACAGTGCAGTTCAAGCTCCGTCTCTATCGGCGGCCTTTCTGTGGGGCGACGTTCAACATGGCGAACTGTACGGAGTCGGAACTGCCGCGGGCAGAGTGACCGTTGGAGTTCCTCAGGGCAGTTACACAAGGGTAACGCCGCTGTTTGATAGTGCTGACAGTGCATTGGAAAACGGTAATATCCCGGAACATTGTTGTTATTTTGGACTTAACAAAGGGTATTCACTTCCTAACAAAACCCGGGTTCAAATTATAGAAAGAAATCCCTCCCGGTGTCAGAGTTATGCTACGTTTCGACGGACTTTCTGCGCCTTCGGGTCCGGTAGTCGGCTCCAGGGTGTCGGTAGTCGGCTCCAGGGTGTCGGTAGTCGGCTCCAGGGTGTCGGTAGTCGGCTCCAGAGTGTCGGTAGTCGGCGACAGTGCTGCGGCCATGTACAGTCTGTGTTTATCAGAGCGTACAGCGACTACGGGACCCAGTCTGAGCCCCTTTACAAAACCAAAACAGGCTACTATGAGATCCTGGAGGTGACGCCCACCGCCACTCAAGGCCAAATAAAAGCAGCCTACTACAAGCAGTCCTTCGTCTACCACCCGGACAGAAACGCGGGCAGCGACGAGGCCACCCTCCGCTTCTCTGAGATCAGCGAGGCCTACACGGTGCTGGGCAATAAGACACTGAGGAAGAAATACGACCTGGGTCTGCTGAGTCTGGCAGACCTCGTCGCAGTAGCCAGACCCTCCGCCAAGGACACTACGGGGAGCAGCGCGAAGCAGCAAACCGGGGGCCGGCGGTCTGCGGCGGACCCAAACAGCCTAGGAGGCATCTTTGATTTCGACAAGTTTTTCAAGGCGCACTACACCGAGCAGCTCCAGAGAGAGAGGGAGTTCAGGGCCCGCAAAGAGGAGATGCTGAGGAAGAAGCAGGAGAAGACTGAGGACGGTAACCTGAGCAAGATTTCGCAGGTCGGAATCTTGATGATGCTGGCGATGGCAGTGGCTGTTCTGATAAGCTTAAAGTAGGGATGGAAGATGTTTTGAAGAGGAATGTTGGCCTTGATAGGAATTCTGGACACTTTAAAATAAATGTACTGTGGGTCCCTTGAATCATCACCTCTCACAAAAGAAGAAAACCAAACGACTGCTGTTAAACACCCTCTGTCTTCTGACCTCTGTGCAGGGAGACATGGACATGTCACTGAAATGATTTAACATCTTCACGATCTTCTAGAGGATTATACAGAAAAGCTGCTAATAAGATTAAATGTTTAGTACTGTATAGCTACTATATAGCTCTCATTCAACACAGTATTGATTAGTTGTTGAGATGATTTCTGTACACTGGTTTGTATTTGGTGTAGCCTTTGTCACACACAGTTAATGCTACTCCCAGCAGCTTTTATATAATTAACAAAATATGTCACACTTCTCAGATGTTAAAGCTGCAGTAGGTAATTTTTTATAAAAATGACTTTTGGCCGTAGTACACGAGAAAAAATCCTGTCCCTCTGGCTCTTGCTAGTGCTCCTAAAGGCATTTGTTTGATTGTTGAGTCTCATCTCCAGGTTGTCAAATACATCTGTGTTTATGTCACAAATTACTTATTTCATGCGCTACTGTCAGGATGTAGTGAAAGTTTCAGCAAAGTTAGTTACCCACTGCAGCTTTAAATGTTGCAAAATACAATTGTTTAACGGTGGCAAAAATATTTAAATCAGTAATTATCTGATTAAAGAATACGTAATAAGGTCATAAATCTGACCGGTCGCTCACAACGTTTGTTCTTTGTCCAGCACCCAGCTTTACCCAGTAATTAACCCCTGCTGTGCTAGTAGTGAATGGAGCTGACAAAGGAAGATTCAGTGGTTGATTTACAACCTGTAAGTGCTACGGTTTGACTCCTTTGGCTTTTATAAAGTCATCTGTCTTGCAGATTTCTTTATTTTTAATGGTGGAGCAAGTTTTGATTATGGTTTAATGTATTGCTATCTATTAAATATTTATAGCAACATAAGGAAGTGAATCAGTCGTAACCCTGAAAGCCCAATGAACAGGGGGATTATGGACTGTAAGTTTATGCTCAGATAAGTTAAAAATGATAGGATGACATTATTGTCAAAATCAATGGTTGCATTGTCCTTATATTTAACTAATAAATTTCGTCTGAGCAGTGCCTGTCACAGTGAAACAAAATGTTGCTTTGGTCTTCTGTTGGCATCAACAACACCAACACTGATTTACTGTAAACCTAATTCACAAACATGTCTCACAACAACTGTCGCTCAATGATTCAAGACACGTTCAAGTTTGTGTAAAAGTCTGCTTCAAACATTTCAACGTTTAGTGCATTTAGAAATTCACAGTTCACATCAGAGTTAACAGTAAACAATTTTGTCACATCAGTGCACGTTAGTAACAAACTCACACAAAACCTACAGTGCATCTACACAAATACTGTCAACGTATTCAGTATAATTAAAAGTGCTTGCATAACAGAAAACATCACTAAAATCTACCAGAACAAATCCTATCTACACAGCTTATTTCATTTACTTCATGGTATCTCAGGTCAATCTAGTCTTTCCTACTTGCACATTGTGTGACTGTGATTGGTTGTTGATCAATTACATGTAGAAATACGGATGTCACACTATGATTCTTGGGAACACAAGTTATCCAGCTTTTAGCACACAAATACAAGCTGCTTGTTAACTTCCAACACTTTTTGTATTTTGTAAAAGTATTTGAACGTGTCCGCAGACCTGCAGTCTCGTCTCCGCTCTCAGACGACCGGGTTGAGGGCGTCATAGAGTCTCTGCACCGCCAGCTCCACCATCTCTCTCAGGGAGTCGTCGTCTGTGCATTCGTCCTCGTAGCACACCGACTGATGAAGGGAGAGAAAGACGGTGAGAAAAGACTAAAACAACCACAATTCTACAGCACCACAAACATTGTTCTGTTCTGCCTCTCACCCTCGTTTCCAAGCAAATGTGAACCGCCTTCCCGTCTACTGTCACAGTGATGTTTTTACCGTCACTGAAATCCACACATTCCTCTCCGAACATGTCCCTGAGCACAGAGAGAGAACCAACATGTGTTATTATAACTAAAGATAATGGAGGAACTGGTATGTCTGATGACATTTTTTATTACCTTACGTCACAAATAAGTTAGTATCAGGGTTCCTACACATTTTACATTTCAAAACACACCTTTCCATACTTTTTTATTTTTATTTTTTTTACCATATTTGATATCTGATCACAAATAGCTAGATTATTATTTATAATTATAATTAATATAATTGCCAGAAGATTAACAATCAAACCCAAACACAATTGTTGTCCCCACCATATTTTATAGTTGCTTTTATAAATAAGCCTTTGTTTATTCACTGTGTCCATGGAAACGATGAAGAACGCAGCCATAAAGTTTTTGTTACACAGAAAAGACTTTTCTGATAACTACATAACTCAGAAATAAATAAATAAATAGACACGCTTAATATTTGGTTATTTGTGATGCTTGTTTATCTAAAATTAAAAGATAGAGCCACATATTCAAATTAAAATACTCCTTATTCTCACCTGGGAATGACTAAAATCTAATTCCATACTTTTCCATACTGCGTAGGAACCCTGCTGTATGGATTTAGATAGCTGGTGTGTTACTTACTGCAACATGACTGCTAGTCGGGTTTGGAAGACGTCCATGTCCATAATGCTACCCTGGGTCTCCATGACTGTTAATAAAACACACATGAAATCACATTAAAGTTCATATCAATAATGAGACACAAGGCATTAAGCTTTTTTATGGTAAATGGGTTCAAATAGCAGCTGATTGCCAAACCGACCTTTCTGAGCCTTTGGGTTTGACTGGACTTCCAGTACTACAGTGGTGACAGCATCGGCATACATGTCATTGAGAGGGTTAGCTATCCACTGAAACAGGAGATATAGAGAAAGATGTCTGGGTTTATAAGAGCTCATAAAGTTCCCACATAAAAGCTGAAGTCTGAATAAAGCGTTGGTATCCTGATCGCTCACCTCCAGCAGCACCATGCCGACCTCGTGGATCAGAGTGATATTTTTAAAGATCTTCAAAGTGTTCTTCTCGGTCCCATCCAGCTCTTCCACATCACCTGAGACAAGAGATTTAAATCAGAGAAAAAAAACAGACACACCAAAACCAAGAATATATTTATAAAAGTATTCATTAATACACTGTAAAGAGATTAACACATATTGCACGCACATATGGCCGTCTTTTAAAATAGTTTGTAAGGCTCAGCACCTTCATACATGTCTGATTGCTTTGTCGATAGATATACATATATATATATATATATATAGTTTTTTTATCCCCAATTTATGGTTTTATCTTAATATTGTTTTTATCATTTTATTACCTGTATTTTAATGTATTTTCATTCTATGTTACTGGTTTTATTTTCTCCGGTTAAGCACGTTGAGCTTGATTTTATGTATGAAAGGTGGTGTATAAATAAAGTTTATTATTATTATTAGTATTATTATTATTACCTGTGAGGTTCCTCAGATGGCAGACGAGCAGTGAGTAAGGTCCAGTGAAGGGGATGGCCTGGGACTGTTTCACCGTGCTCATGGCCAGCTCTGTGTACGCTGCAACACAGACACATCAGGTCTCACTGCATGTCAAATGTTTTATATGTTTTAATATTAATACAGTAGAAAGGCAGCATTGTGTACAACTGAGTAGCGAGACTGTTGTGTGAACTAAAACAATACTTACTAGAAAGGTCAGAGGGGTTGAGGATGTGGTAGTTGAAGTTCTTTTTCACCAGTATGCCTGACACCCTCTGGCCCTGAACACATTTCTTATCAGCCAGAGAGCCCATTACCTGAGGGGAGGAAGAGTATTCAGGGTCTATGTGCAACAGTCGTGAATTAGCATTGTAAGGCCAGAAGGAGCCTGAAGTGACAGACAGGCAGTTTATTGACCTTGGCCAGTTTTTCTCCTCTGAAGTTGAGTGTGACAGCCTCTGTGTTGCGAGGGTTGTGGACTTCGATGTGAACTTGATCATTGTCCTCGTACTCTCTGATCAGTGCAGCCTTCAGACGGGCCATCTCATTCTGCTCCCCGTGCACCAGGATCTGAAGATAACATGCAGACAATGAGAATCAAAGATTTTGATTTACGGACGAGTGAGAATTTTAAACACAAATCATTTGATCCATTTTGTTTTTTCTCCTACCACGTGTGGTGGTTTGAGGGCCCTGATGAACTCGCTGGTCTGCTGGTAGTCAGTGTGGGCAGAGAAAGAGATGTAGTCCACTGACATCTTCAGCTGCAGCTTCTGTCCTGACATGGTGGTAATCTCCTCCGGCTCGGACATGATGTGCTGGAGAGAGCACACGAACACACCACAATAAGTTACTTTTGACCAAAGAACTAGATATTTCTGTCTAATATTAACCTAAAAATAAATCTTTGTCTACTGTCCCGTTGTAGTCTGACCTTGGCCAGTGTGCCCTCCACACAGTATCCAGCGATGATGACTCCGTTCCTCTTATCGGTGCACCAGCTCTCAAAAAGCTCTCTGGACAGCCCGCTCTGCATCATACCCGGAGACGCCATCACCACACTGGGACCAATGTCATCAAAGTGATCCATGCTCTGGAAAGAACCGATCCCACAGTTATATAAGATACTCAGCAGCAACAGTTTTAGGTGTCTGTATGTGGCGCTCTCTACCTTGAGGTTGCTGATGTGCTTGAAAACAAACGGGTTGTTGATATTGATGGCCTTGCGGATCTTGTCGTTCATTGCGTTGACGTAGGTCTGATACACGGCCATGCACTTCTTGGCCAGAGATGAAGCGTAGTAGATGGGGATGTCATGGAGCTCCGGGTGGTTCTGCCAGTACTCGTCTACAGGAGAACATGAAACAAATTGCAAATAGTAAGCGTGAAATAAGGTTAGAAATGATAGAAGCAAAACATTTTGTTTTATTGCTTATTTTAGAGTCATAATCTGTTACATTTTCTGGTTCCAGCTTCTTAAATGTGAGTATTTTCTGTTTTTATTTCTCATTTATGAAAGTAAAGAGTTTTCGGGTTTTGGAGTGTTTGTTAGACAAAAGAAGGCATTTGAAGATGTCCCTTTGGGCTTTGGGAAACTGTGATTGGCATTTTTCATCATTTTCTGACATTTTATCATATTGATAATCAAAATAATCGTTAGTTGCAGCCTTAATCCAAATCAGACACGTGACTTCTCACCCAGGATGAGCAGCAGTTCCTGGGCCCGCCCCAAGGCGAACACAGGGATTAAACAGCGGCCTTCTCTGTTGACAATGTCATGGACTGTGTTACAGAACCGAGCTTCACGCTCCTCCCTCTTTTCATGGATGTGGGTGCCGTAGGTCGACTCCTGCAGAAGGAATGACAGGACTTATCATGTTGTGATCACCTAAAGTTCCATTAAAGGTCGTGTAGTGTTTATTATTTGGCGTACTATGATTAAGATGTCAGGTTTGACACTGGGGATCTCAGCTGCCATCAGATGCCGGTCTTCTTGTCGGGAGAAATCTCCTGTGTACAGCAGCTTCGGGGAGGAATAACAGACACATAATGAACTATTTATAACAGCTTATGCATGAAAAGGACCGTCTGAAACAAAAGAAAGAGTCATTACCTTGACTCCAGCTATTTCTATCATGAACATGGCAGCTCCCAGCACATGACCAGCGTGGTAGCACCAGAATTTGATTCCAGCGACTTCCTTGACCTCGTGGAAGTTGATGGTCTCGATCTTGTCCATGCTCTCCTCCAGGTCAGTCTCAGTGTACAGCATGTCATCTGCAGATATGTTGCTGCAATACACCAAAGACACAATTATTTTAGGCACTACAATTATTAGTGTTTGTGTTTGAGTGTTTCATAATGATGGCTCCTTCCTCTGCTCCTACCTGACTTTGACGTAGTCTGACAGTAGCCAGCGGTAGATGGCCTTAGTGGCGTGGGTCATGAAGGTCCGGCCTTTGAAGCTGGTCTTCTGGAGGAACCAGGGCAGGGCTCCACAGTGATCCAGGTGGAAACTGGTGAGGGCATCAACATCAAATGACACATCCTTAGATATGTTGTAGAATATAATCAAAATAAAACACAAGCAGGGGAGCATGTACTAATACAGATGTGGTTGAGCATCTGTAAAAGAGGGGAGGGGAGACTCACTGGCTGATGAGCAGCAGGTCTATCTCAGCTGGGTCGATCAAGTCTATGTAAGGGAGCGCGTCCATACCCTCCAAGCCAGGGTGGATACCACAGTCCAGCTGCAAAACACAAAGATTACTTTATTTATTTCACCCAGGAAAATAAACTAAAAATAATAAATAAAAGAACAATATAGTAATTAAAACATATAAAATAATGGTCTGCATATTAGAGCCTGCACAGGTATACAAAACAGACCATTATCTTATAATCATTGCTGTTGCATAACTGAGTAATACTTATATAATAATGCATATATGTTATTGTTATTTGGTCTGTTTGAAGCCACACAGCAGCACACAGTTACATCCTAACACACAACCAGAGTCAGCACATAAATATGTACCATAATTTTTCTTCCTTTGAACTCCAGGATGATGCATGACCTCCCGACCTCCTGACCAGCACCCCTGTGGTTACATGACAAAACAACATTTAGGCTAACGTTGCATTTATTTGTTGTTATTATGGTCCACTTGCATTACAGCAATGCCCTCAATATGTTTTTATAAAATATGAACTATAAATGAACTCACAGTGGACGGATGAGGAGCTGGTCACTCTCCTCCGCGGGCACAACCACCTCCACTTTGCGCTTTGTCGCCATATGTGTTAAAATGTGCAGGTAAGAGTGAAAACAGAAGAAATAAAAGCGGCCATACTGTACTGAGCTGAATGAATGAGAGGGGGGCGGCCTCTCCAAACAACGTCACACTTCCGGCGTTGCACCAAAACACCGCCGACGAGAATCAAAGCCGCTGGCAAACGTTCCGAGATAGACGTTAGTCGTTTTTTTTTTTTTTTTGGCTAAAACGAAATCGTACGAATAAAATAAATAAATGTTACAAATGACACGGGAATCACAAACACACACGTGTATATTAACCTAATATATATGATCCAGGAGACTATCGGCTCAATATTAAACTTTTAAAGCTACTTTTTGAAGTCCGCTGCGTCCCCTTTAAGTGGTGTAGGGTGTAGGCTGTGAAACTCAAAGGGAAGATAAAGAGTCAAAGTGGAGGTAAACAGAAAGCTGCTTGAAGAGAATTAACTCTAAACGGTACATTGAGGCGGGGTCCGTACAAACAGGTGTGTAAGATATTATTCTGTTCAATAATTTGTTAGTGTCCCAGCACCACCCCCTGTGTTGAGTTTTGGCTTTTCAAGTTCAGCGTTAAAATAAATGCGGTGGGGGACATTTAAGGTGGAGTAGTTTCATCTAAATATGATTATTTTAGGGTGTACAATATGGCTAACGAGGCTCCCCCCCCTCCTCTTTCCTGCCTGTAAATTAACCGTATAAACGATGAGTCTAATGTAACCTGTTGAGTCTGGTCTGTCACCCGACTCCATCTGAAAGACCTGCTGTAATATTTGGCTCTGACATGATGGAAGTAGAAGATATTGTTACAGCAGCAGGTGTAACACTTGAACTGGTTTCCGATTTATCTGGTGCCCCCTTCGTGGATTGACTTCAGCAGCAGTTATTATTCCAGGTTGCTAATCCAACAACAAGTCTAAACATTGAATCAATATTATAAGCCTGTTGAACGGAGAGGTATAGAGATGCTCATTAATCATTAATGACACATTCTCCATTTAAAAAGTCAAAATGAAAGGATGATAAATTGAAACTGAAAGTGAAACGTGAGTTAATTTTTGAGTCATTTTATACTTGTTTACAACGTATTTATGTTTTTAAGGACAGCATTGTTTTCTAGAATTAAAGTTTCAGCAAAGCATCTCTATTGGATTCACACTTTTATTTTGTTAAGGCCTTGCACACTAAGATTTTTAACTCCTGTTGTTGAGTTCAGACCTATTAACCCTCCCATTAGGTTACAGAATGAATAAGCTTTCTAGTATCCGCTCTGAACTGGAAGGGACTGAAAACAAAAACAAATTTCTCTGTGGGACTTTAAAGTTTCTACTCGTTGATATTTTTTAATGACATTTGTGGTTATTTATAATTTAACCTCGTCTCTGTTGAGACTTGAGAGGGCAATCCTGCTGTGTGTTTCACGCTGTGGTCCATGGTGACTCAGGTCGAAGAGGCTGGAGGCCTGGATGTGGTCGTCATGGTGAAGGATGTTCCGGAAAGTCAAAAAGCGCCACAGCAGCAGCAGCTCGCAGAGCAGTGAGATCAGCACCAAAAGCAAAGTACGGCAACACGTGTAAAAAATGTTTTGACAGAGCAACTTTCACCTGGTTGAACTTTAGCCAACAACCTTCTCTCATGTTTCTGACTCTTTGTAGTCTGTGGACTCCAGTTTGGGGGGGCTCTCCAGATCCAGCACCGTCGCCAGCCTCGACACAGACTCCACCAAAAGCTCAGGTCAGTCTCTCTTTCCTCTTCTTCTTCCATTCCTCCCCTTTTTCTTGGTTTTTAACTGATATGCTCAATGAATGCCGTCTGTAGGTAACAGCACGTCTGAAGCGTGTGCTGAGTTCAGGGTGAGGTATGTGGGAGCCATTGAGAAGTTACAGTTTGACATGAGCAAGACCCTCCAGGAGCCCCTGGATCTCATCAACTACATTGATGCTGCCCAAGTAAGAAGCAATGATTGCTCTTCCAACTCAGAGCAGTCAGTATCACATAATTAATTCACACCATCACAGAGAAGATCCTGTAAATAAATATCTGGCTTCTTTTTGCAGCAAGACGGAAAGCTGCCTTTCGTACCCGGAGACGAAGAGATGATTCTGGGGGTGTCGAAGTACGGAGTCAAAGTGGCCTCACTGGACCAGTGTGTGAGTAGGAAAGTGATGTACTGTACTTTAGATTGAATGGTCATTGATTAGACATGAGCAGTATTGCTGGGTCATCAATACAGCCAAACAGCATGGTTATGAATTCAGCATCAATTTATATTTTCGACAGGGTTCTTCAGGAAGCTGCTGACTCAAACATTCTCCTCCCCCCGATGTTCCCTCCTTACCCATTTTATGTGAAGTGTGAGCTGAATTTGGGGTTTATAGCTCTTGTAAAGTGTTTAATAGAGAGTTACCTCTGAGACTGCATTGATCGATGATGATCATCTTTTCTTAATAAAGAAATGAATACATTTACACTTGATCTACTGAGTGAGTAATAAAGTGCTTTTAATTGTACCTTTTGGCCAGGATGTGCTGCACCGCCACCCTTTGTACCTGATAGTGCGTATGCTGTGTTACGATGACGGCCTGGGTGCGGGGAAGAACCTCCTGGCTCTCAAAACCACTGATGCAAAGCAAGAGGAGTGCAGTATCTGGGTGTACCAGTGCAGCAGCTCGGTGAGTGTAAAACAGTTGGCTGGATTTGGGGTTAAAAAAAGATCCACATCACCTGTCTGTGGTCATCTAGCCCGTCAGTAAAAGCTGTGTGTTTTTTTTAATAATCCGTCTGTACAGGAGCAGGCTCAGTCCATCTGCAAGGTGCTGTCGGCTTCTTTTGACTGCGCTCTGACGTCAAACAAGTCCTGAGGGCCAGAGAGGCAGACCGGAGAGCTGAGAGCTTTCTAGAGAAGAGAAATGAAACAACTGCAAAACCGTTAACAGTAAATCAGGAGTGAACCTCGACTGCATTGTGTAAATTTGTAATTGCATTCGTAATCATTTCCCTTTTTTCCCCCTACAACTTTTCTTTAAGAGAGATTAACTGGAGGACGGATCCTGTGTGTTTTCCAGGTTAGTTTACAGGAAAACATGATTCAAGCCCTTTTGTATTGATGGTGTCACGCCTGGTTTGGGATTCATACCATCACCTTCCCATCATTCTCCAGTTGAGACACAACTACTGTGAAGAAGTCGGAATCATTTCATGGGAAATTTTACCTCACGTGTCCCTTTGACCTTTCAGCCAAAAGAAGAAAAGTGTAGAAAAAAGGGAAATGGTTGTATTATTTTTACAGCAGTGACATGTAAATGAATCATATTTAATGTAAATTATGGTACAAAAAGGTACATTAATGTTGTGACCCATCTCTACATGGCTGTGTCGGCAATCAGTAATTTATGGGAGTGGCGGTACACAGATTTGACGACATGAACGCGGTTTAGTTCTCTTCATGTGGAAAACCAATCAGATTCCATTTTAAATTCAGAGTTAATGTTTGTGTGTTTTTCCGTGACAGTATTGGTACAAGTCACTTTTTGACTTAAAGGTACATTATACACAATGTTTTAACTGTGGGCCACAACCTATATCTCGTCTTAATTTGTTGAATTGACTTATTTTTAATGACTTTTTATTGTATCTTGTTTGAATTTCATTATACAGCAACTTTCTTGGTACATTGTTTTCTGATTTGTTAAGTCCTTTTATGTAGTGGTTAAAAATGCATTAAATCCATTAGACTTGCTCAAACCACATAAATCCTAATAGGCTGTTAGAAGCCTTTGAAAGATGTTAAGAGGAAAAACGTGTTTACAGTCGTGGTACTTACTTGACTTCCCTCGTTACATAACGATAGCCCTTTTTCCTCTTCTCTTTTTCAACAAGGTGCAGTTAACATTAAGTTGAAAACGTACAATGAAATTATTTTATCTTGTGTGATAAAAGTAGTGGATGGGTTTTGTTTTGGATAATGGATTTACTGATTAAAGTGTATTTTCTTCTTTTTCTTTTACTGTCTTTACTACCGAGTGTCTTTTAATAATGATACTACTTCACTAATAACACTATTTCTTAATTTATTCTATTCTATTTATCCCCCCCAAGAACATAGCACAATGAATGTTTTATAGTGCAGTCTGAAACTTGGATGCAGACATGCTGAAATATTCCCCATTAGAGGGAGCTCTTGATACATCATGAGACTTTTACTTTGAAGAATCACACCAGTCAGATGGTGTTTTATTTAAAATGCTCCTCATTAGCAGTTTTGTACTGAAGACTGGAATATCCACCAAATAACCCACAATGTATTGCCAGGAATAATTCAGTAAAAGTATGCATCATTTGCACAAATGAATCATAAATACCTTAATGCCCTTCAGAAACAGACCAAAGCCTTGTATTATTTCATATTTTATTATTCCAGTTTCATTTTCCCATTTACTTGCACAATAGAGTTAAGAGGCGATGCAGTGATCCACATACAGTTAATGAGGATGAATTAAGTTTATTTTCCCAGTTGAGTGTGAGACTATATTTGTGTTTTCAGCACACACACACGCACACACACACAGGTCCAGCTGAGGTCATATCTGTAACTGCTCATCACCACAGCACATTAAAAAGACATTTACTGCCCAGGTTAGCTCTGCTCTTTCTTTTTTTACATTTAAATATCAACAAAACAAAACCAAATCTATTTACATGAATAGATTATTAAATCTTCCTGTTTCCAGTGAGTTCATATTAAACATGTCGAAGAGAACAGATCAGCTACGATTCACATGGTTCTCTTCTTAATATCCATGGAAGGCTTCGGTTTCAGGTCCAACGCCTAACATCAGCATTATGAACAGAAAGAAGGTTGCTCTGCAACCAAAATGAAGTTAATTACATTGATTGTTTTATATGTCTTTCATAACTATTGATAAACTCATCTTTCTACATTATAGGACCCCAGATATGAGAGGCTTAAGCTGTAAGAAGTATATTTCTTTCTCTTTATGTCTAGTTGTACAGAGAGTGTCAAAAGAGTCGGGGAGCTCTCAAAGGCAAGAGGAAGCAACAAAAGTCACAGAGCTACCTCCCGGTTTTCATCACATTCCCACGCTCTCTCTTTTTTTATTTCTTAACTTCAATATTCTTTCATTCTCAGCTTATACTGTGCAGACAGCACACACACACACACACACACACACACACACACACACACACACACACACACACACACACACACACACACACACACACACACACACAGCACACACACACACACACACACACACACACACACACACACACACACACACACACACACACACACACACACACACACACACACACACACACACACTATTCCTCTAATAAGGCAGATGACAGGCAAAGACAGGCTGATGTGTCAGACTCAGCAGAACGGTAATTACTGGTTGCTGCAGCTCCAGTCAGTCTCATCATTCGCCCTGAAGCAGTACAGGAGGAAGAACTGGAGTGTTGCTAACATTATCTATAAATTAGTACAGGTGGTGTGTGTGTGCATGTGTGTGGAGAATCAGTTGTAGAAGATGATGTGGCATACATTTCCATCACTGATGTGTCTGTGTGATGAGTTGGAGGCTTTTTTTTTTTTTTACATTATTTTTGCGTTTCCTCCCTTTCACGCCAGTCTGTCTTTGATACGGGGGACAGGGAAGCGCTCCCTTGGGTGCAGCTTCTAGCATATTCCAGGGTTAATTTAGCACCATTAGAAAAACCTCCACATAGGAGGCCCACTACAGGGTTGAAAAGCAGGTAGGCATTTAAAATCGCTCGTGCACGGTGATGGAATGTAAGCATGTTGACTATGTTCACATTTACAGTTGTTAGTAAGATAAAATACATTGCTGTTGTCTTCTCAGTACTATCGCTTTTCAGGACATTCTGTACAACGCAGCGGAGCAGAAAACGGATGAAATGAATACTGTACATATAACCTTCATTATGTCACATGTCGTCTTATGTTGTAACAAGGATAAAGACAAGGAAAGTGCATTTATTGCGAGAGGTCATTCACTACAATCATCGTTTTTTTTTTGTTTGTTTTAAATCTTAGAGTCTTTGTCAGAAACATGAACAGCAAGCAATAAAACCCACATTACAGTCCCACGGGTCCTCCGCAAGGAGCGACACCCAGACTTTCTGGCGCAAGTCTAAGCTATGGCTGCCAGGATGACACCCAAGCAGATTTGCAGCCGAGGTGATGATACAGCAGTGACACTCTAACAAGCTTGCGGATGCTGCCATTAAAGACGATGGATGTTGACAACAAACATTGGGACGACGGTGGAGGTTTTGCTGGCTGGCGGAGACGGGACGCTGCATTCTGTTCCTGACACCCAGAGAGCAACCGTTCAGTCAGCAATGAAGTGTACAAATGTAACCGGGAAGGCTCCTCTTCTCATCGGATCGCCTTCGATGTGGCCCAGCTGTGAAGAAGGAAGGCAGAAGAGGTGAGGTCAAAGGTCAAACTCGGAATATTTTTGTAAGTCAGGTTGGGTCTTTGTTCTACTGAAACTAAATCACAAAATCATTCGACTGTTCAGCAAAATAAGTCACCTAAAGCACAAAAACACAAGACTAAAACACCACTAAACACTACGGCTGGGTTAAACTAAAATGTAAAGATTCAATATTTATTCGTAAAATCAGAATAAATATGCCTTTTATCAGTAAATATGTGTACATTTGCACTAAATATTACGTGCATTATCAGATGCATGAGGTGTAAAGTGTCTAAACAGTGGAAAACAAGTCATTACAAAACAGAAAAACCAATCAGAAGATCAATGCCAACATCCAGCCCTACTAAACACCACCTAACCGAGCACATAGAGTGTACTACGAGAGGCTAAATCACAATAAACATCTCAATAATATTTAAAAAAGGACATTCCCACATTATATTACCTTGGCCGATAAAGAAGGAAGTACTTATTATGTCCATTTAAGTCATTTTAAATGTCTTCTATACCTGAAAATACAAAGCTAAGACATGTTTCTGCATGGATAGACATGGCTCAAATTGAAAGTGAAGGATGACAAACCATTGAGGAAATAAATACAGAATAATTAACAATTCAACCGCTTCTACACACAACAAAACATCCTTCTCCCATCAATTTTACTCCTCCAATGAAGTATTTTTAAACTCAGAAGTGAAAAATGAAACTACCTTGAGTCATACAACTGGCCCTGTTTTCCAGCTAAGAGACCAATTTAACTTCCAACTTAATCGCGACAGTGACACTAAAAAATGACTTCATCCCCTCTTTGCGCTGCCTCGTTACTGTGCTTTCATTTCGATATTTCAGGCGCACCAAGAGTGATAATGCTGCCGAATGTGTAGACAGAGAGGAAGCACGGCGAGGACCTCGGGGGACTTTAGGGTCTGTGCAGGGACACAGAGGGAGAGAGTGACTAAATACGGTCATATCTGCAGAGGTGGCTCAGAGGAAAACAAGTTGCAGCTGGTTGATGTTCACACAAGGGGCTCCACAGAGGAAGCTGCAGCAGGCGGAAAAAGAGGAGGAGGGATAATATCAAGCCAGAGTGAGGTCATGGCTTTTTGCTTTTGCCACCATGGTTACCAAGTTCGCTGACATCCACATGGTGAAAATGGGACCAGAGTGGGACTGGGAAGAGCTTTGTGCTTTAATCTGAGAACATCTGAGAATGCAGAAACACACCAGTAAAAAATAAAAACAGCGCATTTGCAGCGTGAGAGATACTGACCCACCACTCCTGGTCCTCCTCTCCATCCACCACTATCACCTCGCCCTCAGAGAAGGTCAGCTCGTCCGGGTTGTCGGCTATGCAGTTGTAGATGGCTTTCACCCGTTTGGGCCTCTGCTTCTGAGAGGCAAAACAAAGCACGCGAACAGGTTTGCTTGAGTTTGTGCAGCAGAGAGAGCAAACGGTAGAACTGTGTGTGGCGGACGCAGCGACACAGTCATGGTAAATTCTATCTCGTATTGCCTGTTGTTTGTTTTATGCTATTAGGATGTTTATTTTTCTTGTTGCGAACTAAGGCCAAGTTAAACTCTTTTTTTGACCCCCAATATGTGGTATTTTGGGAAGTTTTTTCTTTTCCAAATTTAGATTTTAGGGACAGAGGGTGTTGTATGCTCTACATCCTCAGCACACCGTTTTGGGAACCACTGCCTGCAGAGTTTGTGAAGCCCTTCGATTTGCCAATTTGGGCTATGAAGAAAAAAATTTGTCTTACTTAAATTAAGTGACTCCTTGTCACAGAGTGCGACCCTCCACTGTTATCATAAGTCAAGGACACCAGGTTGGAAACTCTACAAGTAAGTTTCTTTTGGGATATACAAATACATTTCTTTAAGTTGTTCGAAAGATTTGATTTAGAATTTTACAAATGACTAATAGCTGAAAAATAGCGTTAAGTAGTACATAGAAGACCTTTAACGCCACTGATTCATCCAGTGATAACATGTAATTGGTGCAGCACAGGCTCAAGACAAGATCACATAAGACTAACAAACTAAAATAAATTATTATTGTTATTCATTGTTGTAGAATAGAAAGTTGTAAAGTAAACCCATCGTCCACTTTAAAACACCCTAACAGAGAGCTTCTCTACAAAAACTGAAGAAGCTCTTTGCCTGTTGGGGTACAGGAAGGCTGCGTAAGGAGACACTGGAAACACTGAGACAATAGGTCACGTACTGAAGGGAATACTGAACAACACTAATAATGGAATAAACCATGACTAGGGAAGTTAGTAGCCAGTGAATCAGTAAACAGTATGAATGAATAAGCACTTTGCAATTAATCTGGATGATAATGAGAGGAAGAACGAGGGACTCACTGGGTAGGCCTTCCTCGGCATGGGGGCTGGAGGCAGAGACTGACCTATGGAGTTCTGGGGGCATCCTGGCACTTCCTTAGCTGGAACAGGAAGAGGAAATTATATCACAGCAACAACAAAACTTTCCACGTTTCCACAAAAGAAACAGGATATGACAGATAGTAAAAACAACTTGAATGTATGACTTTGTACAGTGTTCGGACACAGATTTAAGAGAACTGATGTTTCACTCTTATCTGTATACCTGGTCTTTCGATGGATTGTGTCCGATTCAGAGGTCCTCTGTTGAAGCTTTTATCATTGCTGAAGAAACAAACCCAAAAAAAAGAATGTAAAAAATGTGCTCTTGTCAACAAAGTAATAGTCGAGACAAGAATCTAACTCTGCTCTTTAAGACTCAACAGCTCTGTTACAGATTTATTACAGCACCGTCGGCCCTGTGGGAGATAAAAAGACAAAAGGGCGACTGCGGAGGAGAGTTATTGCTCGTCTGGCTCGACGCAGATCTCAGCCTGGGAGCTAATGAAGCGGCTAAAAAGCAGCCATGTAGGCTCATTTCTCTTGGGAAACAAACACCACATTACAAGACAAGCAAGACACAGAACCCTGGATGTAGTGCGCGACGTTTGTGCGTATGTGTAGCGAGTTATATGAATCTATTGTTTTCCTGTGTCGCTAATAAAGCTGCAAACACACTGAACTTGCAGCTCTATACAAGTTTACACTGAATTTATAGTCGCACGCGGCTTGAAGCATTGTGGTTCTTACCCTGCCGGAGATTTAGGTGGCGCTACTCTGGACCCCATTGGTCCCTGGCCCAACTTGGACTGTATGTTCATGGCCTCCATCTTCGCCACCGAAGCAGAACCCAGACCTGGGACACATAGTGACACACCTCGACTGATTTTTGTCTCATATGTTTTCAAACTGAACACACCATTGCACTTAAACATTACACAAAAAAGCAATTTAAACACAACACACTGGGTTTTAGTGACATCTAATTGTTCATGCTTTAATGACATTAATAAAAGATGCATTGACAAATCATCAGTCATACAATTATTAATTGTAGCCCTGGTCTTGAAACTTCTAGTCCTCTCAGTTTCCACAGTGTCTGTTCACAGTAATACCATTTCCAAAATAATGTTAACTCAATTGTAGTGCGGGGGTACTTTTTTGTCTTTTTTTTTGCAGGTTACTGCTTCCCACACTTTTAACAATGTGAATTGCAGAAGTAATCAATCAGGCTTTATGGACTCTTTCACTCTCCCTGTACCATAAGCTGCTTTTTATGCTTCACTTTTATGTTTAAGTAATTTCTTTGATTTTAGCTTGTAGAAATAAACAAATCTCTGCAAAGATTTTACAGTGTATACCCCTCGGTGATTGTAAAATTAAACATTTAATGCCTCCTTACAGTAAGGTATTTAGTACACACCGAACTAAACTAAAACACTATACTATACTGACATGTCTATACTGTAGCAGTGGTCTAGTTTAAGGAGGATGAGTACCGGTAGGTCTATTGGGGTCCATACCTCCAGTTGATGTGAGTCTCATGGGGGGCACAGGAGGGTGCATGTTGGGGGGGTCTGAGGACGACCTCTGTCGGCCAACCAGATCTAAAGGACCAGGCTTCCAGCTGCTGGATGCTGAAGACTGACCAATCGCCCCAAGACCGGATAATTGGACTGAGAAAGAGACCGAGAAAGAGAGCGGTTATTAAAATGAAAAGAAGAGAAACAGAGAGAGTGCTCTGCAGCTTGCCAGAACAAACGTCCACTTTAAAAGTCTGGCCGTTTCCATTTGAAAATAATTGAAAGTGACAGTTAATGGGGAGAGGGAATGTGCAGAATGCCGAGGCTGAGGGGGCTGCGGTGAGGCGAGGTGGGCAACACAGCTGGTTGTTTCTCCTCCGCTCTGTTGGCAGAAGTCCAGATAGCCACTAATGATATTAAAGACTGATTGTGTAACAAAGTATTTTAGCGGCACACAAACAGACACTCATCAGTAAAGGTTTTAGATTTTGTTTCCTGCCATTTAGCTTTAAGGTCATTTAGACTTCACATAAAAGAGGAACAACTTTCTAGAAACGTCCATCCATCTGCCTCCGACGTGACTTTTCCCTCAAGCAACCAGATACATCTGTGGTGTTGAAACAGGTCAAACAGTCACTAAGTTCTGCATAGTAAGTAGCATAAGGGTCTTGGAAACCAGTGATACAGTATCAAATAAGACTAGGCCCTCACAGGCACTGTAGATCTGAATGAGGTTGGTCCTCGAGGGCATATTTTAAAAATATCACTTCCCAGAAGCAGGTTGAGGTCAGATTCAGGTCAGATTCAGGTCAGAAAGGTTATCCGATTTAGCTGGATTGTGATTAACATGTATTTATCCATATAAACTTTAACATATTCATAAAATGGTGATGAGATTCACTCCGTATTGCCTACAAACGGTGCTGGTTCTGAGCTTACCCAGATTCCTCGGGGGCAGGGGCGGAGCAGAGGTGGTGGAGGACTGAGGCGGGTTGTTGAGGATGGTGCCATAGGTCTCATTGTTGACCAGGTTGGGCATGAAGGCACGCTGCTTGTCCTTGGTGAGGTTGGCGGCGTCGCGGCCCGCAGACCCCAGACTGGTCTGGAGGTGGGAGTTACTGCTCGGGGTGTAGCAGCTGACCGGACGCTCGTCTCTGCGATGAGGGCTGGGCTGGAGGGGCAGCAAGAGGTCGGTCAGAGGGTCAGTGTGGGCCAAAGGTAGGATATGGATGCAAGGACGTAAGATTTGTCAGACCAGATTTCATTAATTTCCAATCATCTAGAAAACGTTAAACGTACACGCTGCTCTCACTGATTACAGTGGAAGTGTTGCAGCAGTCTGCATACATTACGTGTTCAGTGTAGCTTGACTGTAAGAGCTGCTGATTCTTCACACCAAACTATTAATCACTTTGTAAACTGCTTTTTGATGAAGCCTTCCTTCTGTAGAGACCTCATTGTATATGTTAACTAGTACAGTGTATATTTTTAGAGTAGATAGACTCATTCCCAGTTTCTCTTCCATCATGGAAGCATTTTCCATCAGGACAAGACTAAGGACCACCTCACTTTTGTAATCTTTACCACTGTCTTTTAAGTCTTTTCTTTTTAGTCACTATAGTCATCTTCAAATACGCCCCCAAAACTGCAAATTAAGCCCATTCCAGCATTATTCAACTTAATATATGTCTGCCTATCACCTCACTTTCTTCATCAGGGAAAACGTACCCACAAACTCAGACTTTATGAAATGATATTACACAAAAAGTCTCCAAATGCAATGCATTTAAAAAATAACAAAAACGCTACAAGTTCAGTACTTTCAGGCAGAAACACTCCTAATGTGGTAAGACTGCTTTATATGCAAACATGGATTAAAAAGTTGAAAAGGAATAATAAATTCAGCTTTTTATTTTTGGGAGGACAATACATTTTCTTTTAGTAACAAAACTAATAAGGAATTCTTTAGGGTTTGTTTCATCATCATTTCACTTAAAATATGTTCTGTTTATTAACTTAATTATTCTGGTTTTCTTGCCTAGCTGTGAAGACCTTTGTCAACTCTTCTTTGGACAAGAGTGTATCTCACCTTCTCATCCAGATCTTCATCACTTTCATCCAAGTCTTCATGCTGCAGACACCATTCATATTCAACATGGACGTGGGCGTTGAATTTCCCTGCCAGCGCTTGGTTCAACTATACACACACAAACAAATACACACAAACACAAGTGACTGAGAACTCTAACATGGTTTCAGGAAGCAATATGTTTGCAGGCATAAGCCAAGTCTAAACATAGTGAGCTCACCAGCTCCTCACACTGTAGGTGTTTGAGCCTCCGAGCAATATCCAGCGGTGTCTCCCCGGCCTCATTAGCTGCAAGGGAAAACAACAGAAACATATAATCACTGTTGTATCCACATGCCACATGAGCACTAACACGCAGCCCATTTGCTTTCCTCCCGTTTCACTGTGACATGAGAAATGTGTAATTAGACTGTTTCCCACACTGAACAACTCTCTGGTTTTTCCCTGTCCTCCCTCGCTATGTATCTATTATCTGGCTGTTTTGTTGATGTCAGAGCGCGGCAGAAAGATTAGTGTTGTGAGAAAGAGTTGCCATGGTCATTTGGCAAAGCCTGCACCTCTGGGAAGTAAACCTGAAAGACTTGGACTGAGGGGTGTGTGTGTGTGTGTGTGTGTGTGTGTGTGTGTGTGTGTGTGTGTGTGTGTGTATATGTGTGTGTGTGTGTGTGTGTGTGTGTGTATATGTGTGTGTGTGTGTTTGTTTGTTTGTGTTTGTGTGTGTGAGAGGATGAGAGGCAGCGAGAGAAAACATTTGTGTGAGACAATGGTGGAAGAACTGTGCAGATAATTTACTTAGTAAGTTTAGTACTGTTAAAGTAATGTTACAACAATGTAAAAATGCCGTCACCAGCAAAAGATCTGCATTCAAAATATTACTTAAAAGATAAAGAGCATAAGTATTAAGTACTTAAAGTATTAAACATATAAGTACTCATTATGTAAATGAGCCCCTTCCATAATGCATGTATGTATTATAGGATTAGTATCACTGATGCATTAATAAGTGAGCAGCATTTCTGTTACATACTTTATAGTGTATACTGTATTTCAGTTTAATCCACAAAATCCTCCAAGTGTGATATTAGTCTAATCATTCTTATCAATTATCATTGATTATAAAATTCTGAAAGTTTGCAACTAGTTACTAACTAGCTATTGAGAACAGGTAGAATTTCAACACACAAACTTGTGATAGATGTCGAATAAACGGTGTAACCGAGAAAAAGAAAAGAGGAAATAAGAAGGACAGAGATGGACAGTGAACACACCACGGTGGTCCTGTTGGCTGCTCGTGTGTTTTCCTTACCAATCTCTATGGAGGCCTTCCCCCGCAGCAGCAGCTTCAGACACTCGCTGTTGTCGGTCAGGCAGCAGTAGTGCAGCGCTGTGCTGCCTTTCACTGTCTGCTTGTCCAAATTCAGACTGCCAGGGGACACAGACAGATAGAGGAAAACATATTTAGTCAAATCATTTCTGTTTTTTTGCAGTTGTGTAATATGTAAAATATTTAAACACTATTTGAACAAGTTTTTTTTGTTTTGTTTTTTTATAAATGGAACATAGAAAACACAATGACACAATACAAAAAGACAAAAAAATTAACAATTAAGCAAATACATTCAATCTAATAAAGAGAAAAAAGGACAAGTGAAATAAGTGGACAAGAATAACGCCTGTCAATAAACAAATTGGTCTTTCAAACTATTTTAATTTTAATTAAGTGTTAAGAGACATCCATCCGATGTTATGTCAAGCTCATTCTTTTATATGGTGGTGTGTTCAATGTTTCCATTCCAGCTTACTGCATTCTGTAGGTACAAATGAAGTGAAGTGCAAATGTATTGTGGTCCTCTGTTGTTTTCTTGCGCTTTGTTTACCTGTTCTGAGTGAGGAAGTCGACGATGTGAAGAGACGTTCTATCCACCAGTCTGACTGCGAGATGAAGGGCCGTCTCTCCTTGTTCCTGAAATGAAAAGATAAAACAGTTGCGTAACGTTTCCATATCCCCTCTAAGAATATGAGGCATGTGTTGAGAATCGTGGAGGAACTTAAAGAGCAAGAAGGATTATTATGAGTAGGAAGTCAGACTCCAGGTGGAAAAGGGAAGTCTCAGTCAAATATGTTGTGTACTGACGTGTCCGTTGGCCAGAGGTATGGGCTCCATGAGGTCGACCCCCTCTGCGTAGACCTGGATGAGCGAGAAGATGTCCCGGGCCTTCACTGCATCGCACAGCGTGTGGAGCCGCGACGTCGAATCAGGACACTTCTTCCTGGCGAAACGTTTCTCGGTGTATTTGGCCGTGATGAAGTCTTTCCTCGCCTGCCTGGTGGGAGATGAAGAGGAGGCAGCCGCTCAGTTACAGCTGTGTCACTTCTCTTAATGTGAATGGAACACTGGGGATGCACTAATCAAAAGCCACTGATCATAACTGGTTAATAAACACACTAAATTATACATTAATTGTGATTAACTGACAGCATTTCAGTGCTTGATTGAGTTTCATAATTGGGTTTAAATTGCAAGGAAATAAAAAGTGTTATACACAAGTCTCATACAGTTAGCTTTAATCTGTTTGGATAACTTGAGATAGATGTTTTCTTTTTAACCACAGTAAAATAACTTGAAGAATATAGGCCATTTCAAATTCTGAGAAAAATATCATTATTAATTGTTTCCTGACAACATCAGCTAGTCAACTGTGTATATCTTACTACTCGACTATAAGAAACGTATCTATAACATGCACATTTTGTTTGAGAAATAAATAAATAGCTGTCCTGTAAAGCAAACGATGACAGCAAAATGTTCCTCCATGTTGTCTGGAACAGATTTTAAACAGCTTTACCAAAGAATATCAGTAATAAAATGTGATCAATCTGCAAATGTGTAAAAATATTATACCCAAAATCTTACATGTGAAAATGTGTTGATATATAATTATTGTATTTTAACCCTTTTAAGCCTCAGTACGTCGCTGGTTAAAATGTGCCAATATGTCACAGTGCTGGTGTCTTTAATTGTTGATTGAATGTAATACAATACGAGTGAGAACAGAGAGAGAGAGAGTTGAGGGAGAGGTGTATGGGGGGCAGATTGAGTGTGGAGGAGAGAAGTTAGAGGGGTGACTTACATGTCACTGGATGGGTTGGGTTTCACCACATTTTCAGCACTTAAACAAGCCTCCATGATTTCATTAAAGCCTGCATTCCCCACATTCTTGGCCAGCTGTGGAGCACACACACACAAACACGGACATAGACACATACACATATTGAAACTGGTCATACGAGCCATTTTCTGCAACACATGCATTAATTCAAAAGTCATCGTGTCTGCCAGTTGAGCTCACACGTCCATATGGATGCGGTACAGAACCTAAACTGTGTGTGTGGAGCCTTATAAACAGCACAACGCCTGTCTGATTGTGGCGAACACGACTGGCGCTGAGGAAAGCAATCACGACTGGAAGCATTTAATCCCAACCATCCCACAGGCGGTAAATCTCTGCACCAAACAGTGATTAGAAAAGCCAAAAAAAATGTCAGCTATTCTGAGTGTGGAGACTTCCAGAGGAAAACTAGAGGAGAGAGGAGGCCTGGGAGGATGCTCCTCTCAAATTTACTCATTCGTCTTTGCTCCCACCCGTCCTCTCCTCCAGTTTTATCCTGCCTAAAAACAGATTTCTAATGGGAAATCATTACAATACAACACCATTCAAGCTGCCACAAAAGCTGTGACTTACCAAGAGCTCTGAGGTGCTGAGTACGTCAAGAGTGAGCGACTGGATCCTGGAGTAGTGGACTCCCAGCTCCCTGTGGATCCCCGAACATTCAATGCAAGTTAGGATGCCCAGGTTGGTGGACAGCCATGTCGGGTCTAAGAAAGAGAGAAGGAAAAGTCAAGAGAACGGAGAGAGGAGGAGGTAAAACTACACATGAGGGAAAAGAGTAATGAAATGAATTTTGGTGACATGGCTCTCCTTTGGGCAAAAACCACAAAAGCAAAGTAATTCCTGCAGCATGTGAGCCAACTTTGATGTGTCCTTGTGGAAAGCTGTGAGCGCTGGAAATGTAATAGCTGCCTGAAGGTGTTTTCACTATCTCTCAGTGTCAGATGAAAGTGACCAAGCTCAACTGTAGCTAAGTCTGGCCTAGATACTCTGCGTATATATATATATATATATATATATATGTGTGGATATACTGCATGTGTATGCAATGTACAGTATGTTAGAGCATAAACATGTCTGCAGGTGGGAATTACATGGGATTTGAGAAATATTATTGGGGGGCTTCATGCGTTTCAGAAAAAAATTATTTCAAAGTTGTGACAGAATATCTCCACAAACGCAGAGGATCCAGTCTGCAAGAGTTTCAACATCTGCTGAGCCAAGGACTCACCAGACCAAGACCATACCGGTGGTTTTACAGGCTTCAGGCTCATAAATATCTACATACATCACTGCTGACACTTTGCAATCACTCATTTTAAGATTGATTACCAGGCAGCAAATCATTTCTGTTCATTTAGTCCTAAACATACTTAAAATCTGCAGCGTTCATATTGTTAGCAGGAAGTCAGGAAGCAAAAAGTCAAAGCTTCCCAAAAATATATTTTTCTGGGATTCCTGGGATATTCTCTCATAAATTAAATGGGATTTTAACCACTGAACGGTGGATAACCACTGTAAGATCCTGACTGATCCAGTCCCCGTGTCCAGAGATTTAAATAATTAATGACGTTACCGCTGCTGTGACATCTTGCGTAAAATCCATGCAGCACTTCTTTAAATTTGGAAAAGCACCTTTTGTTCTAGCTGCTGAGTGAAGGCGACATGTTTTTAATTCACTCAAAAGGACAGAATCCAGCCAAAAATCCATCAGTACGGACAACTCTACAAAACAGATTACATGTGACGACATTGGGAAGACATCAATCTGTTAGTGTCTTAATCACATTAAAGGTTTTATTTTAAATGGAAATTTTAATTTGTAATAAATGTAAAAAAAGAAAAGTAAAAGAAGGACTGTGCCTGCATTGTGGCAGTAGTATTATTATAGTTACTGCAGCTTAAGGTCGATATATAGCTATAACAGTTACCTGATGGTAAGAAATGCCTGATTATGGAGTGATCTCAATTCCTGACATTGAACTCTGTCCAGGACAATTTTTAAAAGTATGTTTTGTGGTGTTTTCAAGAATGATTTTTAAATTTATGAGTTGGATTCTAAATATGGTTGTCAGCATTGTCGCAATGTGGATTTGGTTATTTCCATTTCTTTAGGTGGTTAAAATATCTTTCGTTGCCGCCCCTACCCACAGCAATGTATTGCCTAGCTTTTAGCTATTATCATGCAATGATCACGTAACTGGAACAAAACAATCAAATGTAAACAATAATGACATGTTTACCATGATTGAATTACTTGCCTCAAGCAAGTATTGTGTCTGAGCAAGTTGATTTACAAACCTCAGTAAAATAAAATGATAACTTAATGTTGCCTGGAAGGTAGAAAAAAGGTCAGCGATAATGTAAAGTATGTTTGATTTGTAGTCAATAAGCTTAAAACAAACAAAACCAGTGGTGTGATCCTTTTTGTCAGCAACAATCATTTAAAGATAAAAGTTGTTTTGATCAATTGTGAGGTGAGGGGTCTTTGCCACTCACTGGGCGCTCCGCAGTCGCAGCACACGTCGTTTCCCGTCATCCTCTTGACCTCTCCCAAGATCGCCTTGGTCAGCTCCTGCACGATGTTGTTCTCGCCGACATGTTGGTCCCCTTTAAAGGCCTGATTCAAAGCCTCCTCCTTACTGTTCTGTAGCACCGAGATCCAGCTGGACGAGAGGCAGATGAAAATGAGAATAAGGACAGAGGAAAAGGAGAACTAGGTTGAGTGGAGGGGATGGGAGCAGACGAAGCAGAAAGTTATGTGAATAGAAAATGAGGGAGTTAAAAGGGGGAAGAAGACGGGAGTAAAAGGGCAGGAGGTGGGAGGTAAAGACAAGGCCAAGCCTCTGACTGGGTGTGAGGCAGGACATGTGTGGAAAGTGGCCGAGGTGGTAAACAGGATGCACTTAGGCACAGGGGAAGGAAGGAACAGGCACTTACATCTGACAGTCCTGGTCGTCCTCGGCCTGAAAGTGATACGTTCTGTCGTCTGAAACAAAAAAGAAATGAATGACACAAAGGAAGAGGAGAACAGGAATCAAAGAGCAGTGGAGATGGAGTAAAAAGCGTTGCCCTATAGAGGGCATTAAAGTCTCCTACTGACAGGTCAGACTGACGGTGAACTGCGGAACAAAAACAACAACAAAAAAACTCTTAGCTCTTATTTCTCTTGTCTTCAGATGTGAATCACTTGCCAGTAACCAGGGAGACTGACTACTATTTTTACACCACTGTATCCAAAGCAACTTAAACTATGTCGTGTCTCCAGTGGCTGAAGCTTAGCCTCTCCAGCTCAATCCCAGTGTCTCTTCTGTGTGGAAAAACCTTGAATGAACGAGAACCCCAATGTTTGTTGCGTGCCATTCCCCTTCTCTCTCTCCCCCAATCGTTTCCTGTCATCTTTCTACTGTCAATATGTTAATAAAAAATGCCCCTCTCACAGTCTGGCCCCACAAGACAGAAGTCTGCAATGGGCTATTGATTCCAAATTAACTGTTGAGCGTCTGATGTGGAAACGTCTGCAGAGTGTACAGCTTCAAAAGTGCTTTTAACATCATTTATTTGACAGAAATTGACAATTTAGGGAAGAATAAACAATGTCAACAATTATTGTCATTATTAATTTTTTCTCAGTTAATGTCAACAGTGAGTTTGGTGACGTATGTCTCAACGTTTGCACAGGAAACTTAAACGATTGGTCAAATTTGTAGTGAAGTGTTGCTGTTGTTTACACACACGCACACACATATATATATATACATACATATATCTGTACATAGCAGTTTATGTTTACCTTCTCAAGCTTGTTGCCCTGGTTAGCTGTATGTATGCCTGTTTCTGTGTATGTACATTGAGAGCAACATGAAACCAGCATCAAATTCCTTGTATGTACACTCACACCTGGCCAATAAAAGTGATTCTGACTCAACAGGAAAAAATTACTGGAAAATCATCTTATCTTTAGCCTGCTTCTGCTTGCTAAATAAAAAATAAACATTTGAAATCCACACAGCTGCATAACGAATCTTGGCCTGCTGCTTCCTGGATGAATAGAGCTAATTAAAATGAGGCATCTGAGTGCAACATGCACAAATTGGGTGGCGAACAGTGCGCACAGACAAAAAGGGAAGGGAAGCAGCAGAAGGCAAAGAGAGAGAGAGGTTTGAACTTACGGGATATGAGGTCAAAGCTTCTCTTCTCTTCAGGATTGTGTTTCACCTGGCAGGTGAGCAGGTTGAGTTTAGCAGGCGGCCGGTTAGCCTGCCAGAGAGAGAGAGCGGGAGGAAGGGTACAGAGTGTTGTGTTTAACCGTATCAGACTGCTGCCGGAGCCAAATGAAACATCTGATAAGCCACTACGTGTGAGATGAACTGCGCTGGTGAGAGGAGTTGATCGGGCCAGAGCGAAATCTTTATATGGGAACAAATGGAGTTCAAGTTTAAAGAGACTGAGGCAGCGATGTGAGAGGAATGTTAACTTATGAACTGGGCCTCTGCTCTCTGCTGCTCTCTGTTAATATATTCATGGTTAATGAGTGAGGATAATGACTGGCCGGGGAGACGGCCTGCAGCCAGGACACTGACACTGTAATGTGTGGGACGACTGTGAGAGTGAAATCAATCATCAGTGTGTGGAGGTCTGGTCTCATATGTGTGTATCTAAATGGGAATTTGTTATAATCGGGACAATCGCATCTCCCCTGTCTTATGAGTTTGGACACAAAAAACGCTTTTGTTGTCTTACTGTGCCGTGTGAGATTGTGAGGTATCCGTTCTTTGCTGTGCACTTTCTCTTCTGCCACACTTTCCTCAACCTGTGACACACAGGAGACCGAGATTAGTGCGTCACACAAACACACGCACACACACAGAGGCAACTTATGAAATATTTAATATGATCGCGTTATAATACAGAACACATGCATTAGTTATGACACACGGGCTGAGCAGTGTATTCATTTCTACACTTAAAAAAGCTGCATCACTAGTTCTAGAGCTGAAACAATTAGTTTATTAACTGATTGATCAATTTTGATAAATGATTAAATGTTTTTCAAATCCACATCAGCAAATATCTCTGGTTCCAGCTTCTCCAACGGGAGAATTTGCTGCTTTTCTCCGTTTTATATCATCGTAAAGCGAAAATCTGTTATCTGACAGTTAAAACAAACAATTTAAAGGCGCCACCTTGGGCTCTAGTAAACTGTGACGGGCCTATATATACACGTTATATTGAGACATTTTATAGACTAAACTATTAATTGATCAAATGAGAAGTTAACAGCAGGTTAATCCGTAATTAAATAATTGTAGGTTGCAAAAGGTGCAAATCTTTGTTTTGCTTTGTACTATGAAAAATCTTATTTTGATGTATATTACAAAAGTAAAACATACTTCTATAACTATTATGTATAGTAAACTATGTTTTTTTTCCACATACAGTATCACAACTGATCTTTATTAGAGTTTTTAAAGTTATTTTAAAAACTCACCCGTCACTTTTCTTGTAAAGGTACCCGCTGCGCTCGGTGCCGTGCTCCTTGTTACCCTGTGGCTGGTGCAGGCTGTAGGTGGTGCTCTGCCGGACCTGTGATTCCTGGGGAAATACACACACGCACACACACAAACAAACGGAAACAACAAATCAGAGGCTTCATAAAAATAAAATAAAAATCCAATAAAAAGCAGGTGCTGCATGTTGGATTTGCAAATCCACTTTGCAGTCAAATGGGAGCCACTGAAGGGTTAAATGGCTCTGATTTACGCTCTGCTTCTTGGTCTCCTCTGAGAATTTTGAAGCAAGTATAGACAACAATAGGAAGCTTGCTGCTGTGAGCCTGAATGATTTTGTACACATGGGGATAAGAAAATAAGAGGAGCTTTCACACCTCTGAATCAGAATCAAACAGGTAAAATCTGAAGAATCAAAAGACAAATCATAGCCTGGATGAGTTTGAACAGATAAAACATGAACTAGATTCAATTTAACTTGATTTATCTTTTTGACATTCAGGTTTGACTGCAATGCAACAACAACAAGGACCAAACAAAGGCCAGATTTTTGTACAAGTGATGTCATTTCCTTTGTGGAAACCCTACGGGAAGCAGAGAGGACAACTTCTGAAGGCAGGCGTTGACGGGACTTTGATGATTTTACTGGTGTGTGCCGTTATCAGCAGACACACAGAGCCAGCAGGACAATCTCGGTAGAGCAGGGATGCTTTTCTCATTGAAAAGTCATTTAAAATAAAAAAGCAACAACTTAAATGAACCAAAGCACTGAAACAATGCAGCAATGCCACACAAACATAGATTATGCGCTGCAGTAAAAGAAAACACTGATGTAGCAACTACAACTGAAGCAACACCACAATGAAAACAGGATGCAAACAACCACAGAAAAGGAATTTTTTTTTTTTTCAAGACTTCCACTTACTCTCCTAGACTTGTTTCACAAAAGACGGAGGCAGCAAAGGAAAGAAGAAAACAATCTTCAGGTGAGACCAGGAGCATATTTAATAGTTCACTGAGCACAGGCCTGGGGTCAGTTAAAAATCACGTCCACTCATTCGGGAGGAGGACAAAATGGAAAATATCAATGCATGTATGAAAACATAGGAAACACCTCAGCCTTTTCACAAGAGATTTAATCAGGAATGTGCTTGTTAATTAGCTGATACAAGCATAAATTACTACCAACTATGTTAAAAAAAAAGGTGGTTAATGTGGTTCAGGATTGTTTATATCAAATATAGTCTGACTTTAGGGCAGATTTAGAGGGATTAAAAGGATTAAAATGCAATATTTGACTGACATGTTCTTTGACTTTGAGTACAGAAGACCTTCAGCTGTGTGTGTGTGTGTGTGTGTGTGTGTGTGTGTGTGTGTGTGGTGTCTTACCTCCTTCTGCTCCACCTGTAGCGCTGACTTGAGGACTTCTCGTAACTGAGTCAGCTGTTTCCGCTCTTCATCCTGCACCTGCTTTATCTGTCGTATAGGAAAGAGAGAAAGAACAGAGTAGAAACATAGGATGCATATTTTATGACGGAAACGAAAGAGTCAAGCGAAGGGATGAAGATATCAGAACTGCTGGTTTTCTCACCGTGTGCAGATCTGTGGCCAGTTTTTCTATGGAAGGCTTCAGGTTGTCCACGGCTTTCAGACCGTCCTGAAAGAAACTGAACAGGAAACACATGAATTTAACACATTAGCATCTCAGAACTTCCACAAAATAGGGGTGCATTTATATTTGAGTGACTTAAATTGTATAAACCAACTAGTGCTATGTCATACTTGCACTGCGCGTGGAAGTACTTGATGAGATTCTGCAGCAGGTCCACCCCCTTCTTGATTTTGATCTCATTGACTTTGAGGAGATACTGTAAACAAATTGAATACAGATTCAGTCAGACAGGGTGAGGCCAGTTCAGGCAACTCAGGCTCCATCTCAAACATGTACATCGCTTTCATCTCGTATCAAGACGCTTCAAAGTAAAAATCTTTATCTTCCAAGTGATGTTTTATTAAAATAAAACTTCAAAGAGGGACAGACTGCTCAAACATAATTATATAATATAAGATTTGTATTCCAAGAGGCTAGCCTCCTATTTTTCCACTACTATCTGTGTGCAGTCATTTTCCATCTTTAACATGTTTCATTTTAGAATTAAACTTCCCTTGTAAATTGATTCTTTAGGAAACATATTTAAATAAGTCAGGGCTCACTCATTAGTCTCATTATACTAACCTCACACATCTGCAGCTGGAAGAATCTTCTCTCCTTCTCCATCTCTTCAGCAATTTCTGCCCCACTGATTTCCGTCCTGATCATCCCGTGCTGCCTCGCGTGCTCCTTCTTCTCCTTCTCTATCTTGGTGCTGGCAGGAAGTGACATCACAGGGGTCAAATAGCACACAGAACATCCATGACAGCACCATAAACTCACAATAAAGTGTGGTATTGTGTAGAAATCAGCCCCATTGCTGTCTGGCAGACAAAGATTGTTGGATGAGGTTATGGGTTAGAGATTGTTAGTTTAACTGTGAGGTTAGAGATGACTGGAGTGTGTCTGTGTAGTTTAAACTAAGCCATCCAGGTGGTAAAACGTCTACAAAACTTTAAAAAGAAGGCATGTGATGTGTTTTTAAGTGCTGTTGTGATGTTAATAGCGGCGTCCTGAAACGCATCCTCTTTCACAGGGAGGGGTTGTATCCTCCCAGACAGCAGAACTAAAGATGCCATTCAGATGCACAGCAAACAGTCATTATCTACGTTACAGTATTGCATTTCCAGATGTACAATGTACTGAAGTAAATGGACTAAATTTGCAGAGGAGAAACATCTGGCTAATTGCACCGGGGGTTAAACTGCACAAGGCTCATCTGTGCATTTGGAGGGTGTCAACTTTTCCACAATTAGCATAAAGCTTCTTATCAGACACTTGCTGCTGTTGTTTCTCACTGATGGTGGCAATTGAAACTGGCACACAAAAGCAGAAGAAATTAGAAAGCAGATGTCAGCTAGCGGGAATCACTGCACTTGGCAGTCCTCACTGAGTGAGTTAGACTGTCTCTTATATTACCGTTCAGTTCAGTCCCCAACAAGGGGAATCTATCTTTATACATAATTGATGTGCATTAGGTGTCTGGTTATGTGTAAGTAGTATTATATAGAGGACAGGTTTACTGTTTTAAAAAGTCAGGGAAATATGTAGAAGGGCATGGGCAAATTAAATTAAGGTTTAAAAATGTAAATGCATTCTTGCACTGGTTCTGGTGAAACCTTTCAGACACCAGGTTGCCTGAAAGTCAGTATTCAGGGCTGATTTATCACAAACACCGTAAACTCTGCATACAGTATCTCGCACAGGCAATCAGGAAAACACACCACACATAAGAGGGGAGGCACCAATCCATGCAACAGGGCATTCTTTTCCATATGCTGTTTTTTATTTTCTGACAGCATATTCCCTACAAAAAAGGATGCAGCAGTTGGTTCCCTCTCACAGGGACGGCGTGTACGCTAAAACTCGTTCAGCCCGGTTCATGTGCATCAAGACAGACTTCATTCCCTTGCAGCTAGGCTCAGTGCAGTTTATGACAAAACAAATAAATACTATAAGGCCATTCCTCAACTTTAAAGAGGAACTTTAAAGACGATAGGACTGAGACATTCTTAAAACTATCAACTAGTCTTAAAGGAATACTTTGACATTTTGGGAAATATATGTGTATATTACATATTTTATTAATTAGCATGTGAATAAGTGAGCTTCAGCTATGCTGGTAGGCAGATATTGTTTACTTTGGACAGAGCCAGGCTAGCTGTTTTCCACTTTATGTCAGGCTTTAAGCTAAGCTAAGCAAAACTAACTCTTCCAAAATGTCCAACTATTCCTTTAACATTCATTCGCAACTGCCATGTTACTCCCTTTATATTGTGAGTCATGATGTGGCACCAAAAGAGGAAATTCTCCTTAATCCTGCTGTTTCACAATATCTCTCAAGCAAGGTGGTGCCGGCACATCGTGACTGGGTTTCACTCTTTAGTCTATATCTAGCTGCAGTTGTATTGATAATAATTATTGTTCGGCAGGCAGGATACTAGCAATGAGACAAAATTTGGCATGTTCACAAAGGCTTTGTTGGAGGAGACACAATTAAAGTCAGTTTCCTTTCTCTTTCTGCAATCCCAAAGAAACTAAAGCTGTTTGTTTTTACCAGTGTAACTGTCTCAGATATTGTCAGAAAACCAGAAACACTCAGCCTTGAAGACATCAATAAACAGTAAGTTACGACAGCTTTTGCTTTTGGTCGTAAACTCGCCATTTTTGCCAGAGTGAACAAGCCAAATTAACTTGCATCGAGAGTACACTGCTGGCCTTTGTCAGCACATGAATCTTCAGCCCTGACAGCCTTACAGCATCATCAGGGCTGCGACTAATAGAGAGACACATGTTAGCCAGACTGTTTGGCTGCGAGCCAAACTGATGTTCAACTGATGATTGGGCTGAGAATCCATTCACTTTCAGTCCTGTCAGTTCAGGGAGTGATTCACAAATTAGGCACACAAGACAGAGATAATAACTTTTCGCAGACTCGTTCTGCATTGAAATTTAGGGAAAACTTTACTAATTACGTTTCAGATTAAACACTCTACCTGAATTAACAGCATTCAAAGTGAATCAACTCTCAACCCGGAGGCTGAAAACAGAATTCAAACTCGGCTGTCGGATGCAAAGAGCTTGCAAAAACAAATCAGGAATCAGAAATCAACGCTGTGTTAAGATCAAATCAATGTATCTCTCTGTGTCTGTGAATATTTTAACAGCCTATTATTGACAGCAGACAGCAGAGAGATCAGAGGCGACCACAGGATCATTGATAAAGAAAAGTGTCAGGCTATGTCGGGGTGTTTGGGTGGTTTTCCAATCAGGCAGAAAACTGAACTCTAATTGATGACCTTGGTTTGCCATCAATAGAGTCAAATCATAAGAATAAATTGGGGCGGTCACATAGCATCCGGTTGAACTCTCGATGTCAGTACAAAGCCCGTACTGTCTGATCGAAACAGTTTGGAGAGAAGATGTATTACCCTTTCAGTAAAGAATGTCCTTTGCAGCTTGTAAAATATATGAAAGTGCTATAAAATGTCATGTGGTCTTTTCCATGCACAATCACAATGGTGCGTCAGTGGAAATGGTGTCTCAGTGTGGATAGGTGGGTAGGTGATAGTGAGGGGTGGTTATTCACATTATCAAGGATGTGTTGACAGATAATCACAGGGGGGAGGTTAGAGGGGGAGAGCGGTTAGTCGAGACAGAGACAAGACACATAGTGCACACTTCATTTTAACGTACCAACTGAGACATGTATGGCTTTAAATCAGCAAGTTACAACAAGTCTGAACAGCTGAGCTGATATATTTAAATTAATGATGACTGTGTAATCACATGGTTTGAGGCACTGGGCCAGCATGTTGAACAATTTTAACTAATTAACTAACAAACCATCAAACGTCTGGTTTTAGTTAGGGAAAATAAATTACAGGCTGTTGAGTATACAAATTAGGTTTCTTACACTTTTGTCTCATAGTCCTTCCAGGCTTTGTCAAAAGGCTTTTTCAGATCCTGTGAAAAACAACACAAAAGAAGAAAGTGATCAGTTAATAGAAAATTACACAACAACCATTTTTGACATGACAAAAAGCTCTAGTACAGCTACTAAAAGTTGTTTTCAGGGGGTCAAGAATTAATTTTTAATCTGTAGCAGTTCTCAAAAAAATTGAGCTTTGAACATCTACAGTTTTATGACAACTGGGAAAACTCGCATCTGCTGAGGAAGGGGAATTTTGGGGCAATTTTGTTTGGACAGAGCCAGGACAGCAGTTTCTACCGGTTTCCAGTCAGTAAGCTAAGTTAACTGACTGCTGGAAGTAGCTTCATACAGTATTCACTTACAGACACGAAAATGGTATCAATCTCCTCATCTAACTCTTGCGAACATGCAAATTTCCCAAACTGTGGAACTATTCCTTGGAAAGAATCGACCGATACGTATCACGATACAGTCTGTAGGCACCAAAAATATCTACAGCTGTATACAGGAATTTAAACACCATTTACAGCAACCAGGAATCACAAAGATGTCACAATCATCATCGTCAGTGCTTACAAACTGTCACATGTTTAAAATACTTTCCTTTCTCACTAATGAGCGAAGCTACTGTATGTGTGTGTGTGTGTGTGTGTGTGTCTCTGTGTGTGTGTCTCTGTGTGTGTGTGTGTGTGTCTGGACGAAAGTCACTGTGGAGGGTTTTTGGGAAGGCAGGAGTGCGGTGTGATTGTTTCTGGCATTTGTAACGTGATTCCTCTGTGAACACCGACAACAGGCAACGCTGATTTCTCATCGTCATGGGTGTGCTTTCAACAGCTGCTTGAGCAAAATAGCTTGATTAAACCTCCCTAACGCCGGGCTGCTGATTAAACAGTTATTAGGACAAACAAAAGCAGACATTACTGGGAGCAATTGGCCGTGTCTAAAAAATACAATTAAACAGAATGAATTGTTGCCCAATACTAGAGCTGTGTATTGGCAAGAATCTGGCAAAACCATGCATATCACAATACAGTGGTTATGATTTTATGTGTTGTGATATATTGCAATACTGTAAGGTGTTATATTGGGATTTTTAAAAAATCTGATTTTAGGAAAACTGAACTGAACACACCACCATATGCATAAAAGTTAACTTTATTATTTATTATGCAACCAGAACAATGGGATCTGCAACATCATAGTCCTCAGTTTACATTTATAAAATTGCTATCTAGCAGTTGGGGGGGTTTAAACATTGGAGTCGATAGCGTTTTTGAGACTCAATCATGATACTAAAATGTATCCTTATTTTCTTACACTCCTGATACTCAGAGCCAAAATGCCAAGAAAGTCTGCCTAACAGCATGCCAGAATATCAAAAACTACAGTAAGCATCTGCTGAACCATGGCATTGAAGTGAAGCTTTTTAGTCAAACCCCTCCTAACATTTAGCACTTAAGCAGCACATATTTGGCTTAATCTGAAAAACACACATATTTCTGCTCGCCTGGACAGACAGCCTATGGCTTGAGTGCATTGTTAAGGGTCCACAGAGGACTGCGATCCTGCTGTTGACCTCCACTTCAACAGCAGAGGAGTGGCAGGCTCAACCTGTCAGGATCACGGTCTGGTTCACTGGGCCAAGCCAAGGAGCACTCAGTCATTCAGTCGACCAGCTTGAGGTCAGAAACCACCAGAGGAAAGAGAGAATAAAAGACTATAAAAATACAAAAGAAGCTAAAGAACAAAGTCAAAGAATGAGTCTGTGAAGAAGAAAAAGCAAAAAAAGGAAGCCGCTAAAACTGCAGGTCAACAGAGAGCAAGAAAGAAAAGAGAGGGTGAGTGGAAGGAAATGTCAGACCCAGAGAGAGGAGAAAAATGGTACCAATGGCTAAAAATACCAGATACAGGCATTGCTGGGCAGGGAATGGCAGAGAATAGGCCAAGGCATGGGGCAAAACACTCCCAGAGAGAGCAGCAAGCTCCTAGCCTGATTCCCTGACTCCAAAGGACAGATGAGGAATGTCATGCCCTTGGCAGGGGCCTCCATTTGCAAACTTATCACCTCTTACTACCTACTACCACACATGTCCAGGAATAGCACTTCCTGTCTGACATTCCTCACACCTTTTCCCACCTCAGTAATGAATGTACAACCTGGTCGGCAGCAACGAAGGCATTTAGCGTTTAGTTTGTGTCTGTAGTACTGGTCTACCTTTGGATGTGAACACTCAGAACCCTCTGTTCATCCAAATCACAAAAAACAAAACAAAGCAAAAAAACAATTCTACTAACTCTGTTAAAAATCATTGCAAATTAATTATCTGTCAATCAACTAAACAACTATTTGAATAAATATTTCCTGGCTATTACTTTGCCTAATCCACAGACCATAGGGAGTATTTCTGTGTAGGAAAGTAGTTAGCAACCAGGACACTACAGTGCCTCTGCAAACTCATGCAACCGTTACAATTCCCTTTTCTCATGCCACAAACTAGCCAGAAATAAAATTCCATTCACCTCGGTCACATTAGGAGTGGAGGCAGAGAACTCAACAAAGACAAAACCTGGACATATAAAACCAATATCTGCATTGTTAGATACCACAATGATTGGTTGAACTGACCATTTAAAAAAGGTCCAGTGTGTAACAGTAAGTAAGATCTGTTGGCAAATTTAATATAATATTTATAGGTATGTTTTCATTAGTGTATAATCACCTGAAAATAAGAATCGTTGTATTGTTTTTACAGATAGAGCAGGTCCTTTTGCACGGAGGCCACCATGTTGAACTGCCGTGTTACAGTAGCCCAGAACGGACAAACCCAACTCTAGAAAGGGCCTTTTGTGGGCCACCATAGTTCCTCCTATATGCCTGTAGGCTGAGCTGCACTCAAATGGTTGAAATCTGCGACTTCACCACTAGATGCCACTAAATCCTACACTCTGGTCCTTTAATGTATTTTACTTCAACTAAAACATCAGCAGCAACAGTGTTTTTTAGAGTACGTCATATGCAAACAAATGAGGAAAAGCCTCAATTAATAATCTGCTCTTATCTAAAATCTCAAAAAGCGAGCATGCGTGGGTGTTTTTTGGGGCTAACTGAACCACAATGAGACAAGGTGCAGCTGGACTTGAGTCACTGCTCACTCCGAAAGAATTAGACCACAGACCTCTCTCTCCTCGCACTCCTTCCTTACACAAACACAGCGGATTCTGCAGCAACTATCCAGACACTGTAACTGAATAGTGATAAGCTGATAAGACTCATGGTGGGTTACAAACACAGACCGGTCAATAAGCAAAGGATGAGAGGGTCGGCTGCAGGCATGACATCATGCCAGCGTCCACTCTGAAAGTCCGCTGTTAGCAGAACGGTCTTGTGGACTCAGCACTTTCCATTTTCCACAGACTGGAGAGTGTGTGTGTGTGTGTGTGTGTGTGTGTGTGTGTGTGTGTGTGTGAGGGAGTTTATCTTCAATAATAACATTACTGGGTCTTTCAGGGACCATGCCGCAGCCTTTTTTGATAGCACTGATGAAGCTGAACCCTGTGTAAAAACTTTAATTAAAAACAAATGCTTTTTACAGTACTTTCCCAAACACCTGCTTCTCTGTGCCTTATAGTCCATCAATGCTACAGAAAGTACAGATTAAAAATCAAGAAGTGATGGCAGTCTAAAAATGACAAGGTCACTTTCTTTTTTTCTTTTTTTTTTTTTTTTTTTACAAATAGCCCTCTGGTGAAATGGCCATGGAGGTAGATGAGCTGGAAAATGGTGGGTTTTTACCAGAGTAACAGCGGTGACAGGTTGCTAGGTGGTAGCCCTCTAATCACAGAGCCATTAGCAGCTGCCTCCCTCAGGGTAAGTTCATTGCACTCATTGCCAAAGACGGCACCGGCAGAATATTAAACAAGCTCTGGGGGAACAACAGCCACCAGAAAGCCATTAAGCCCTGAGTTAAATCAAATGAAAAGGAATAGTGACCATTATAGCTGCACGCAGGTGCAGTAATTGTGGAGCATTTTAAGATACCAGATTGCACTTTATATGCATTAAAAGAAAATTAGGAATTAGATTTTACATCTTCAATGTGAATGTTTTCCTTGCTGTTACCTGCCCTCTGTATTCTCAGTGTCCTTGCTGCAACCTTCCACAGAGAAAATTGTGTCTTAATTTTGCATTTATTTACAATTTGCTTAAACATGTGTACACAGGTTCACAGCCTATGATCCACAAATGCATGTTGCGTTTAAAAACATACATTATATGCACAGGAAACTTTGCTTTTTAAATATGAATATTATCAGATTAATGAACTTGAATGCTGACATTTATTCAAGTTGTATTTATTTGTTTGTGGATTGGAAAACACCATCAATTATTCACAAATCTTTATAATTCTTGTCTTAGTGTGTGGTTTATGAAACATGTCATCACTACTAAGACTAATATATAAACTTATCTGATCTTTTAAACAAATCTCTCTTCCTCTTTTATGACCTTTACACAACCCATTACTCAAATCATCTTCCTCTGCTTCGCAGTCCCTGCTGTCTAAACAGCCCCATCATGCAGGTCTGGACTTCTTCCTGCTTCCCTCTCTCCTAACAGGTACTTTCCCCTGGGACAGCACAGGAGTGAAAAAGCAGAATTAATGACAGAGGAGGAGCAAGATGATGAAGGGGAAGGGAGGGACGAGGGAAAGGCCTTGGGCTGTGGAGGTGAGAAACAGGTTGGGGGAGGGGGGGTGACTCTCTCTCTCTACTTTCTTCCTCACTTTTCTTGTCCTGACACTGAAGGCTGACGTTTATTGATATTACAACAGTGGTGACATTTATGCAAGTGTGCGTAAATGTGTGTGTGTGTGTGTGTGTCCTGAGGTATAAAATAACCAGCAGCTCATTAGCCCCATGTCATTGGGGTAATGAGAATCATCCAAGGGCTAATGAGCAATAAGTGGGTAAGCATTACAGACGTGACCGGCTGCCAGACTGAGTGTGAGGGGGTGGGCGATGAGGGACAGACTGAAGGAGACAGTGAGGGAAAGAAAGTGGGGGAGAGATAGCAGTGGAGTTAAGAGAGAGGCAAGAAGACAAAGGAAGGATATCGTGAAAAAGAGAAAAGCAAACAGAGACCGAAAAGAAAACATTGCACTTAAGAGACGCACAAAAGAGGAAGACAGCAGAAAGGACAAACAGTTCAGAGGTCGAGACGGAGCCAAGTGGCCGAGGGTCACGGGGACAACCGCATTTCTATAGCAACCGGCCTCATTACCGAGCAGGCTTAATCGCATCATACCTCGGTAGGAAACCGTAGCCAATCATGTGCCTGGAGAGTGAAAGGGCACAGACCTCCGCGGACAGTAACGAGGGCTGATTGCATTACAGAGCTGCATAGCCTGTTAACGAGTGTCTGTCTGGGTTCAGTCCAGTTGGTGGACACACATGACTGACTGGCTGACTAACTAATGGGTCACTATAAAGACCACTAGTACCTAAAACTTCTAACAATAGTTAGTCTTTCTAAAGATAATTCATATTTGTATATATTATTATAGCCTTCATCTGTGTTCTTTGCTGCTGGTTTACTTAATTACTGCTGGACAGCTTACAGATTTATTGATTGGATCATTAACTCAAAATCCTCCATGTGTAAATTGTAAATAGTTCACCGTGTTGCTCCATGCAATATTCTGTTACACTGAGTTATATCAGGCTCCATACAAACATTTTTTCACGTGTTGACTGATTTAAGACTCCATGCTACAACTTAAAAAACATTTTATGGAGAGATGATAAACTTCATTCTGGCAGTTTTGCACAACTTTCATCATTTTGAGTTATTGCAAACATCAGGTTTACGCTTCAGTTGGTGATGGGTGAAGTTTGTGATTTTTATCTTGTAGTTTCATAAATGAATACTGTGGTAGTCAGGTGTTGTTGGGCTACTACTTCATCATCAACTATCCATCTAGTCTCTACTCAACTCAACTTTTTATAGAAAACAGCGGAAAGTGGCCCGAGGCAGATCAAAGCAGCTTGTTATCAACCTTATTATCGAGACAGCGGGACTTCAAGGGTGGCAATGATTGTCAAGGTGGCTTCAAATCACTTTGAACCAGCAGCATGGCCTCTATGCACAGCTACTGAATGAGTTTCATGAGTTTATTGAAGATAAAGCTGCAGCCTATACAAGCATGTTTCGATTGATATCTCCATTTAATTTTGTATTTAGTGTGGGAATAACTGCTACCAGGAAAAACAACCTTTAGTGTCAATCAACTGGATTGGTTTTGTGTTAATAACAGTTCCCTCACACGGTAAGAGGATCTACATGTTGGGAAAAGGATAATCTACTAATGACACAGCGCTTGCATCAGTTAAATTAACATACGCTAAACCCTCTCATAAAACCTGTATTTCTTTGAGGTCACTGATGATTCAACAACTTGTGAGTTATGAGTAACACAAAACAATGCTGTTTTGTTGCCTTACCCCTTTGACTCCCTTCAGGTCTCCTTTCAGCAGGCTGTCCAGAGGAAAGGTGATGATATTGTTCATGTTTTGGAACTGTAGGAGGGTGAGGAGAGAGAGACAGATCAGAGTTGAAAGGTTACATCAGAGGATTTAACCTGCAGGAGAGTGAAAGTTAGGAGTGTCCGACGCCACTGAGATGTAATCCTGTTAGAGCCCTGTGTTGCTGTTTGGGTGTGTGTTTGGGTGTGTGTATGTGCAGTGTGTCCAACAGGAAAAGCACTCAGAAAAATACAGGCAGTTCTCTGTAAATGTGGGTGAAAAAAAAATCTTTTAAATCACTAAGAAATAAAATTTTCACATCATTAAAAGACAAAAATATAAAGAAAGATCCATTACGAGGCAAGTAACTCCCCTGTTTGCTGTTGCAGTTAAAGCCAGCCTCTGTGTCTAATGCTGTATATGTAATCTAGGAAGCGAGAGCTTTCTAAAGCTTTGAGAGATTACATCTTCACATCCAGGTCAGGCGGCAGCTCATATTTCTTTAATATAAAGGTGGTGAGATAACACTAATACAAAATCTCAAGCTCCTGGTCTCAGTGTGGGTCGATACAGTGTCCAGGGGCAGCGACAGACCTCACATGATGGTGTCAAATTTTTCTAATAAAGCTTTGGCTTTGATACAAACCCTGGCGGGATGAGGTTGAATTAGATCCAGCTGATATTTGGTGTTGCAGTGGCTCTTTGGCCATCTCAATGGAAAACTAGAGCAACCTCCTGAGGGGCTTTAAATTACAGCTGGACTCGCTGTGTGCTTGACGTGTGTGTTAGAGAACACACACAGAGACTCAAGGGGATAGAGACAATTAGGGACAGGATGGAAATCTTTCTTTGTCCCAGAGGATTTTACTCCATCCACTCCTCCGACCCAATAATACACACATTTACTTTTATTTTATACACACACACAGACACACACACAGACACACACACACACACACACACACACACAGACACAGACACAGACACAGACACAGACACAGACACAGACACAGACACAGACACAGACACAGACACACACACAGACACACACACACACACACACACACACACACACACACACACACACACACACACACACACACACACACACACACGACACAGACACGCACGACACCCGACCGCACGACACGCCGACACAGACACACACACACTCACACACACTCACACACACTCACCAGGTTTTTGAAGAGCGCAGTGAGCTCCTTGGTGAAGACGGAGAACTTGAGGAAAGCTGAACCCAGATCTGGATCATCTCTGTACACGCAGTTTTCTCCAAACTTCTCCAGAGCCTGAGTGTACTGTTCCTCGTTCTCTACGTGGGCTGGAAAACACACAACATACAACACACACACACACAGGTCAGCTTTGACAGGTAGAATGAATCAAACTAAGGTCTTTCACTCTCTGATCGTTAAAAGTCAAAAATCAATCACTGGGTATTAATAATGTATGCCGGCCTTTCAGTGAACAAAGATACCCCTTTTCCGGTTGGTCAAGCTCAGTTGACTGATGTGGAAAGTGCTGCTCACCACTGACTGGGCACTTCGTCCATATTTGTTTGTCTCATATTGTTCACTAAGAATGAATATGTGCAAACCAATTGGAGATCATTAAAGATGAGACGTTATAGGAGAAGCAGGAATCTTTTTCTCCTTGCTTTGGATCAACTAGAACTTCTGACTGCTGCTTAAATGATTAGTCTCTTAATCGATCAGTAACAATTTTAATAACTGAATTATTAGTTAATTATTTTAAGCTAAAAACAGTCTCTGGTTCCGGCTTGTCCAGTGTGAGGAATAGCGGCTTTTCTCTGTTTTATATAATCGAAAATTAAAATATCTCTGGGCTGTTGGTTGAACAAAACAAGCAGAGAAAGGACGTTACTTTGGCATTTTAAAATATTTTACAAACTAACAAACAAAACCATTAATTTAACAATAAATGAAGGAAAGGAACAGAGAGACGGTGTAAATGTGGAGTTGAAGGAGGTAAGTGAGGGGGTTAAAACATTTTTCATCCAACATTTTGATGGCTATGATCTTCAAATCTGCACTTCCATTAGCTTTCTCCACATTAATCTGGATTTGCTTTTCAATTTAGCTTGTTCGCTTAGGCAACAAGAGGCACCAGGGATAAAGGAATAACAGATCCTTGTTTTAACAATGATTGTAAGGAGGGAGACAAACGAGAGGCAGGAGACGGACGTGAAGAAGAAAAGAAAAATGCACCTCAAACTAAACAAACCCAGTCGGGGGGGGACCAAAGTCTCCTAGCGTGTCTAAAGTCAAGCTAATCTACCACGGGGGTTAGGCCTAGATGACTCCACTTAATACACTTCACGCCAGACTAGGCAGCTGAAAACAGTTAATGCCACTGGGACAGCGGTGGAGCGAGGGATGGAGCACTGGGGGCCGTTGCTATGACGACACTCACGAAGAAACTGGGTGGGGGCGGTGGGCGCTTTGAGGGAGGGACTCAAGGAAAAAGTACGAGGACGCACAGTCAAAGCCACCTGCTGCCACATCATGACTCAGCTTTTTATCTTCCACACACACACACACACACAGATAGATAACAGACACAGGTGCACAGATGTGGCAGGCTTACAGATGAAGCCGATAAGCTCACGCCTCCGCCGCAGAGATATCCGTCCTGTTATTAAAAGTGGAAAGCTGAAAGCCTCTGAGTCACTACCTGCTGACCTCCTCACACCAGACAGATCTAATTTAAGCTACCGAATATCAACTGATGCAATAGGTTAGCTGGATGATAAGGCCCCTACGAGACTGAGCACAAGCCGTAAAACGAGAGTGTGATTAGCTTCTAGTAAGTACCTGAGATAAAAAAAAAAAAAACACACCTTCACAAGTTCCCAGAGGCCCAGGTGACACCAACCAACAGTCAAAAACCTGATTTCCATTATTATAAAACACCAAATCCTCACATTTGAAAAGCTTGACTTATCATTTAGTAGACTTAAAAACTAGAGCCAAAACAGATAAGCTGATAAAATGATTAGTTGACCAACAATTAATCAGCTTCTATTTTAATAACTGAGTATTCATTTTAAGCTAAATGACCTGGTGGCAGCTTCTTAAATGTAAATATTTGTTGGTTTTTTTTAGTCTTCTAGCAAATCAAATATCCTTGGTTTGTTTAAAATTCAACTTCCTAGAGAGAATCTCTATTTTTACTAAATAATAATTAATAATAATTAAATAACTCCTATTAAAAACAGTCTCTGGATCAAAGCAGTGAAATGTGTGGTACAGAGATAAACTTCAATCACTGTCATGTGTCACACACACACACACACACACACACACACACACACACACTCACTCACACTCACCACACACCCGCAGCCTTACTGTTTACACATCAGCTCCAGCTGTTTGGCTGTGGCTCTGCCAGGCTCTGAGCCAACAGGGCGGTGGCCTGCTGTCGTTTCTGAAGTGGCACATGAGAGCTCTGAGCTCTGCTATTCAGCGCCGACAAACAGCCCAAACTCCCACCCTCCCCCCCGGGATGCTCAGTAAGTACATGTGTATTTGTTGTAACATGACCTAAACACATCACACATGCAGCCTCCAGTACAGAGCAGCTTTGAACCTCAAAAGGACACAACGAGCCAGTTTATAAGTAACGTAAAGTGGAGGAGAAAGGGAGCCAAGGGAAGCCAGACATGAGGACAGAGGCAGCCTTTTCTTTAGTTTACACTGTAAACAAAACCTGCTAATTCAGTGCCGATCTGCATATGTTGTCTAAACATTTCCAATACATTAAGCTGGTGTTCAGGAGCTTTCTTAAAGAAACATGGTTCAAACCTGAACCCAACTGAACCCAACTTCTCTATTGTGTTTCTAGACCTTTTTAGCTTGTGATCACCTAAAACAAAACTATTTCTAGTTGCGACCACTCGTCATCAATAAAAAACTAAGACTAGACAATAGTAAATAAGTATAGTAAACAAGCATAACTTTGTGTAGCAGAAATATGATTTTATTGCTTTCCTTTCCCTCCAGTGACCCCTCAAATTCATCTTGTAACCCTCTGTGGGGATCCCGAACATCAGGTTCTAGATCTAGATCTTGAAAACTCTACTTACACAGTTGTAGAATAAAACATACTGATTATTTCACAAATAGTCACAGTTAGTGTTTTGATTTGGTTGAGCTTCCCAGTGTGCTTTGCCTTTAAGAAAACAACTAATTAAGAGTTTCACTAGAATCTGAGAGCATGCCAGTTCATTGGTGCTTAAAACATCCCCCAGTGAATGTCAATGACTATATTCCTTAACTGTAGTTTCTGACTTTTGGTATCTGGGTATTCAAGCACTTTTGAAGGGCAGTTTATACTTTTGTCCCTACAACCAGAGCATTTTAGGAACCTTTGAACCGTGTGTATTTGTGTGTTGACCTCAAGTAATGATGACCTTGTGTTAAACAGAGGACACAATTGGCAAGCAAATACACAGTTGCATTCTTTACTGTATCTTCCCTCCTAAACACACAATAAAAACATAATATACAGCTTCCAGGCGTCTGCTGAGGATTATCTTACATCCCAAAGGCTTGTTTTGCAGCTTCTTCACACACACACACACACACACACACACACACACACACACACACACACACACACACACACACACACACACACACACACACACACACACACACACACACACACACACACACACACACACACACACACACACACACACACACACACACACACACACACAGAGTTTAATCACCAGATAGCAGGCTTGGCCTCTGCTTCCTCTCTCGGTCTCTCCCACACTCATTCCTTTACACTCGGCTCCATCAGGCCCGGTCAACAGACGCTCCGACCCTAAATAATACAATGCGAGTCCGACCTCAGATCAATTCCACATCTCTCTACTACGGACTCTACGAAAACAGCCCGGGACTCCAGGGCCACCAGCACTCAGAGAGAAGAATTAGTAGTTACCTTGTACACGCAGAAAACAGAGACCAAGACTTATAGGGCGTGTGAAAGACAAACACATGAAAAAGAGCATATTTCAAGTAACAGTTTGCATTTTGGGGACTACACCCTTATCAAATCTTCCATTCATAAGATCTCTTTTGCCTCTTTTTGACACATTTGGAAACTAGAGAGAACTGCTGCGAAATGCAAAATTAGCATGAAGGTATTCTTAAAAGGACCAGTGCGAAGGATTTTGTGGCATCTAATGGTGATCGAATGGTTTTTTTATACAGACTAAACCAACAACATACAATGTGTTAATTAATGAGCTTCAAATTAAAATTTGGACAGAGGCAGGCTTGCCGTTTCCACTTGCTTCCAGTCTTGAAGCTAAGCAAAGCAAAAAGACCGTAGAGACATTAAAGTGGTGTTAATTTTCTCACATTCCTTTAAATGTGAATGAATAGAGGCGACTCCGTCTTCCATTTTCATTACACTCTTTGTATCTTCTTCCGCCTATATTTCAGTGTCTCCTCAGGTCTTTTTCCTCTGACATCCACACATTACATTAGAGCTTGTGGGAGTGCCATTTTCTTGGTTACCTGGCAGCCAGGAGAGAAATGCCGGCGTGTGTGTGTGTGTGTGTGTGTGTGTGTGTGTGTGTGTGTGTTTTTGTGTGTGTGTGTGTGTGTGTGTGTCAGCGATCGAAGAACATGGTCAGATCAGACACCGTCGAATTCAGCGGTTTCCTGATGCAACAACTGGGCCGAGTGCTGCATTATTCAGCGCCTCCATCCAGCCCATCGTGACCACCTATAGGTACAACAGCTGGAACACAGCGTTCAGTCGTCTGCCTCCAGTCGTTATCTGTTCAGCGGCTTTGGCAGGCCTGTCCTAGCAGCTCCGCTCCATCAGCTCCAGGTTCTTCCGGGGTTTGAGATGCTGCTGCTGGTTTATTCATCAAAACCCACAAGCTGACAACCTGACAGGTCCCTGCAGCCACACAGGGCTCTCTCACTCATCTATGCAGCTTTTCCTGTATTTTTCCTTTCTCATCTCTTTCACTCTCATTTCCCTTTTTCTTGCTCTCTGGGTACAGGCTTATGTTGCTTGCTCAGCCTTTCCACTTCCTTATAGCGTTTGTAATCTTGATTATTTTTTCCTAACCATTCTAACCAAACCTCCCTCTTCCCTCACCCTCTCTCCATCCTCACCTCCTCATCATTACTATTCCTCAAGTCATAGCCGAAAATATCCTTGCAGGGTTTGGGCTCGACAGTCAGTCATAGAAGGAGGGTATTCTCGGAGTATTGAAGCAGTCAGTCAGCGTTGAGGCTTTTGTGTGTCTCATTATTCAGGCTTTATCCCAGCATCCTCTCTGAAGAATATTTATAAAACTCTTTAGATCTCTTTAGACATTGCTTTAGATACTGTAACGCAAATGCTTTTCTATGTGTCAGCATCTAATTAGGGTATGTTGTGATTTATTCTCTACAAACCAATTTGTAATTGTATTGTATTAAATCTTAACTGCATTAATTTATAATTTATCTGCTGACTGCTGTTTTAATGTATTTCTGTGAATATATTGGAACTTATGTATTTGCTTAATAGACCTTAACAATTTTAGCGCCCAACTACTTTTTTCTATTTTTACTTATCAGATGCAGGACACACAATTCATATATAGTTCAACTGCGGATTATTTGATTTCTTTAACCACTTGGGGGCAGTGTAAGATCCCGTAAAGACAACATTGACATATTAACACTTTATAAAGTTAAAAACTTCAGCAAACATCCAGCAGATGCAGAGCAACATTAGCATTCATTTGGAGTCCAATATTGACTCTCCTATCTCTGTTTTCGGTCTCCGCCAACTCTTGAGGGAAATATCCGGCTGTTTGCTGCTATATGCTCCACTATGTGCATCAGCTAGGGGATAACTATGTCTGTCTGTTGTTAGATGCTGAGCAGGTAAGTGTATAATTGGTTTATTAGAGCTTTTATCTGAAAACAACTGCCTGCTGCTGCCAAAAACAAACGCTATGAGGACTAACTAAAACAGTACATTGCAAACTCAGAGACGCTCAAACACTCCGTACAGCTGAGGAGAACTGCAGAGTCGGGTAATAATTCTCTGTGGCTTCGTCATTAAGAGCGACACTTTTCACATTACAAATTATTTGATGCATTGTTAATGTAAAGATATTGATTAGTGCAGCTTTAAGTGTATCTGTAGTAAGCATCATCTATATTTGGGACATATATCATCACCATTTCTTCATCCATGTACATGTCTCCGTCTCCCGTTTTAGAGATATAATACAGAGTTGACATGGGCATAACAGAGAGGGCTTCACTGAGTCATCTTGGTTGTATTCAAAACAGATCAGGGTCTGGGCAGCTTTTCCTGAGTGCTAGAAGTCAAGGTGACCTAAATGTGAGCTTCTTTAGGTAGAACAGTAAATAACAGCATTCCCAGTGGCATTTCCACAGACCAAACACTGTTTCTATTGTAAACACTGATACAAATATGGCTTCACACAAGGATTAATTTGCTTCCTCCTAATTTTTTCCTAAAGCAGATAATTGTGCTCATAATGAAAACAAAATCTCAACCGCCTGAAACACCTGCAATTCCCAAACATGTGTACCCTGCTGCACTAAGCACACAGATGCAAATGAAGGTAATTTATCAACAACAGGGGCATTCATTTTGGCAGCTGAACAGCGTGAGAAAACTGTACAAGTTGATTATATAAATGTACACCTGCACTCACACACAGACAATATCAGCCTTTAGCGTCCTGGGATGCAGGCTCAAAAAGGCAGTGTGTATATGCGTAAATGTAAAAACAGTGAGGTGAAGTGAGATCATGAGTGCGTCCATGCCTCAGCAACCACACACAAACACAGTGTGTGCCCCTCCCCAGCTGTTCCTTTGGGGGTCTGGATCAGACAGCTGTCCCTCTGGTCTGAACAGAGCTCACACTGTTCTGAAAAAGACATGCTCAGCACATTGTTCAGAGGTCTCTCTCCCTCCCTCTCTCTTTCTCTCTCTCAGCAGGGTTCTGTCAGGCAGGCCAAACAAAAGACACTGGAAACACCCAACACTGGCACAGACAGCCACAATGAGCATGGTAATAACACACACACACACACACACACACACACACACACACACACACACACACACACACACACACACACACACACACACACACACACACACACACACACACACACACACACACACACACACACACACACACACACACACACACACAGACTTTAGGGATGCAATTAATAATTATTTTAATTTTAAATCTATTGTCCATTTATTGATTAAAATAATTATCTTGTGTGTAAAAAACAAAACTGAAAATGATAAAAAAAGACATATAATAAATTATTATAACAGAATTTGACTGATTTCAACACCAAAAAAGGCCAACTGTTCATCATAAAATTTAGCTTTTCAGTGAGAGCAATAAGTGGAAATGAAAACATAAAGTACAGACGGAAGGACTCACCTAGACCAGACGTGTAGATGGCCTTCACAGACTTCTTCATCTTGTACAGAACACTGCGGTCCACATCCAGAGCCTGAGCAGAGACACAAGGAGGCCAACATTGAGACTCATCACTTAAGTTAGTGTAGATTTGTTACTTTAATTTGTTATTTTTGTGTATTTTGCGGTCATTACGCTGATGGTGAGATATTGTTCAGCCTGCACAAGGTTTGTGTTATCTGTCTATTATTCTATCTGACACAAAACTGGCACTATTCCCTAAGACACAAAATAAGATAAACACCTGACTATGTAATGAATTCTAATAATCAGACTGAATTGCCCTTTTAATTTCACTTGATTCATTCAGTTGTTATTTCCCCAAAACAGCTTTAAAAACAACCTCTTAGCTGTGTCAGTGGAAGCCACACTTGTTGCCATTTTTCTGACAATGTTTCTCATTATTGTTGCTAGGTAGCTTGTTATCCATGTATGAGAATCAAGTCCCCATTTTTAATCTCACTGGCAAAGTTTCTCTAACCATCGATGAGCCGTAAGACCGTAACCTATCTGAAATGCAACGATTCAGAGGTAGAACCAGGTTTCAGTATTCTGATCCGACGGCTCTGCAGTAATAAAGTATATCACCTTTGTAAAGCTGATACTGTTCAGGCTGACAATTCAACACTGCTGTAATTCTTGAGGTCACGCTGAGTTCAATTATATTGTTGTGTTCCTGTTTTTTTGTCCACGCCCTGAACGCATTCCTCCATGTGGTTGGTACAGTTTGTGTGTGTGTGTTCCTGTGCCATCCACTCTGGCTGCAAGTAATGAATTATTCAAGGAAAAGCTAAGAATAGACCTGAGCTCCCTCGTCAGTCATTGTTTTAGTGTGTGTGTGTGTTTATCAGTATAATAGCTTGTACGACAGGAGCAGTGAGCATCTGAGGTCCCTTACTTGAAGGACAATTTTCCTGAAATGTATATACACAGGGGCACACACAGAAACCTCTGAATAACCACAGTCACACACACTTTTACACATACATTGAGCCCAGATTTGCATACTTAACAGAAAAAACACAGAAAGTCCAGCTGAGACAATGCAGCACTGTACCAGTGATGAGTGAGGGAGTCTCTCGGGATGAGGGGGATTTTGGGAAATGAGTTTTTAGGGGCTTTATTAAGTACGTCCGCCCAACCGGGCCAAAGCCGGCGCCACTTTTCTCTAGCCTGCTCCCCATCCGACTGACACATATCAGATCCCCTGGACCCTCTGAAAACAAAAACACACAATGGCTCCCATTCAGCTGCAAAACACACACCGATACTGTAAACACACACACAGTCACACACAAACCTCTTTGCAACACTAGAAGTGATGACAAAATGTATTAAATCCATAAATTGGTGCTGTATTAATATCCAAGCAATAAGCAGTTTGCTATTCAAAATGAAAGAACCGCTCAGCACTTAAGTTTTCCCCAGGGTCATATTACGCACATGCGCACGCACGCGCACACGCGCGCACGCACACACACACGCACACACACACACACACACACACACACACACACGGAACAAAGAGAGAGAAAGACAGAAGTGACTTTGAAGGGAAAATGACGTATAAATTAAGTGTCACTAGTAGAGGGGATGGGCAGAATAAAAGAAGAACACAGAGCTCAGAGAGAAGACAAGAACATTGACATTGTGCTCTTTCACTCTTCTGTCAGGGGTCGCTCATAGTGGCTCATAGTGGCCACCTATGAAGTGTGACAAAGGAGACTAAGTCAGCCTGGTAGGGTATACAGTTACACTCAGTGGAGAGGAAAGATAATGGGGAAGAAAATCCAAATGATGGAGGCCTAATGAAGCGATTGTGTGATCAAGCAAAGGCCACATCTGTCAGATTATTTCCATTTCAAGTATTTGTTGAACAATGTTGATGATGTGTCCATTGTGATGGAATAGTTTGAACACGCTGCAGACGTATCACCAACTGCGAGGTTATCCACAGAGTGTTATAGTGGAGGAGGCGCCTTGTTTTATGAAGTCACATTTTTATGAAATATTAGACTTATAAAGCTTCAAGGAGCAGTGGCATTACATCACAGAGCAAATGCCATATATTGAATGACGGAGGTGAATGTCGTCTAGTAATGACATTTATGTGATGAGATGGTCGGAGATCTAAAAGTTAGGAAACGTAGAGACAAACAGCCTCATACGTCACAATCAGGTGATAATGTGTGAGAAAAGAAACTCACCACCGCACTAAAATTCAGACAACAGGCTGAAGGTAGTTATATAATCTCCCAGTAGGCCTTTTCACAAGCATATTATGACAGAAGGAAAAACACAAGTGTAACTGATAACATAAAAAAAAAAGACTGCATTCCATTTAGGTGAGATAGTTAGGCTCTTATTATAGTTGGATAGTATTGTTTGGCTCACTGTCATGAGTTACTGAGACACTGAACAGAGCCATCGTTGATGTTTTTGGTAACACTGGTGCATTTCCTGCTATGATGTGAAAAAGGCCTTTAGAGTCTGCATCCAGTTGTATCCTTAGTGTCTGTGATTAGACCTAATTTCCTTGGGAAACCCTGATCCGTTTAGCCAACAGTTGTCCGTGGATTCAAGTGGCTGAATGCACCTTTACTACTTCTACACCTTTCACATCTTTCACAATCTTGAGAGTGGCCGCACAATATGGTCTGGAGTTGTTTATTAAGCAACACAAGGCTTCACACAACAGCACAAATCACATGGAATCGGATCTTTCATCTGTGGTCCAAATCAAATACAGTTCGGAATTTTGTGTTTTAGTCATGTCAGCCTAATATAGACCACATTTACAAAATAGAGAGCCAAACAAAAAAGCAGTAAATCAGAATTGAGCGCTAAGGCTTGCAGTGAGAATGTAGTTACAGTCTCATTCACACCAAGTCCTGACCTCAAGCTGAAAACAAACCAAACAAACACTTCAAGAAATATAAAAAGGGATTATAATTACCAGAATTAGGACAGGTTGGATGAGAAAGAAATTCACAACCTTTTTTCCAACAAATGTGTTGACACAAATAAAATTCCAGACAGCAGTACTTGGTATAGGTAACATGCTAAAAATAAAATCTCTTTTGCCAGGGGGAACTATGCAAATTAAAAGAAGTCGACCAGAGGATAGTTCTTCCTCTGAGTAAAAGTAGGACTTACAGTGATGTGGTTTTGGTTCCTTCAACTCCTGTTAAATGACTCATCTGTTACATATGCCATTATCCCATTAGCCCTGTCTGGCTCAGACAAGCTCTCTCTCCGCTAGCTCAGACCCCACACAGCCATGCGTGTCTGCATACTGTTTGACATGTATTCTCAAAACGGAGTGAAAAATACCACCGTCTACAAAACCAGCACAGAGTGCTATCACCGTCTATACCCAAACCACACAAAAGACTTCTAAAAAGGTAACTGGAGACGAGCTCTGAGTGTTTTCTTAGCAGAACTGATACCACCTTGGTTTCTGCTCTGTGTGTTAAATATACTCCTGGTACTCAGAGCGAAAGCCTTGAGAGCACTGAAAGCATTTCTTCTGGTACCTGAGCTCCTGTGAGGCGGTAGAAGGCCTGACAATGGATCTGCATCCATGGAAGATTTTGGGGGCCCAAAAAAAAAAAAAAAATATTGGACCAAAAACAAACTGTCAGTATTGCAGGAAGCAATTTTAAAATGAGCCCCCATAAAACATACTTGAAACTGTAATTTATTTATTGATTATCTGATGCTGTGAATGTGTTTAGTGTGGATGGTGTGAGGTCAAACAAGGGTGAGCCGCCGAAGTCAAAGCATGTAACAGTGTTTAACAGCTGAGTGGTGCAGAGAATCAATTCGAGACCAGAGTGTCTGCGTGTGTTTAATTCATAATTTATAATAAGAGAACTGCACAATCGTGTCTGTCTGACGCAACACATGAACTGTACTGTAATGTGCCCTTCTGTTCAAAGCTGTCTGTGCTTAAATATTGGTTAAATGCAAGTCACATATTCTTGCATGGTGTGAAAACTTCATCAAAACATTCAAAAATATGACAAAAGGAGGAGGCAAACAGAAATGCGGCAGTTTGACCAACTCAGCTGGGCTCCCTGGCAGTAGCGTTAATGTTTTTGTGGAGGAAGACAAGCCAAATGGACAAGAGATTTACAGCAATCTGTTCATTTTGTGACTAAAGCTTTTGGTGCATATGCTGCATCAACATAGTCAGATGGCAGATATGTGCTCTGCTCTAGTATCATGTAACCGCTTTGTACAGTACAGCTGTGCAACCCTTCTTCGACAACTGACATTCAGATAACCTTGCTTTCCATTTAACGTCATAATCATAAGCAGCCTCGTGAGCCAAAATGTGTCGGCTCAATTTTTCCAAACTCTTGAAAATCATGGCGAATTGAGATATTCTGGGAAGGTTCCTGGGTGCGAGTGTGTTGAACTATGTTAAGACAGAGCATGTCATAATTTTATCTGCATCTACAAAATCACATTAGACCAGATGAGATGGAAGCTTTTGCAGCTTTAAGAGACAAACCTTTGCAGCTATCCCAGCTATAGAGTCAGTATGCACTAAATCTGAATCAGAAATGGAATATAATATTCAGAAGTAAGTTTTCAGTTGTGTATAATCACCTAAAAATAAGAATTGTTGTGTTACCTTACAATGAGCTGTTCTTATCTACAGAGGGTCTTTTGTGTTTTTCACAGACCTCATTTTCAGTTTATTGTAATCTGCAAATTCACTCTAAGATGCCACTAAATTCAACACACTGGTCCTTAAATGATGGGGATGGACTGGTGACACCATTGTCCCATAATGCAATGCACAAAAGGAAATAGAGGAGCTACTAAAAGCCGCATGAAATAAAATAAAAAATGAAGATGGTGATAGAAGTGCTCCTAGAAGATCTTGGGAAAATAAAACAGCATCCTTTCTATTTTGATTTATTTTTGTTTAATTGGCAGCGGCTTTTCAGAGTTGCAGTTTGACCCACATCCGTTGGTGCACGTACCGAGTCATTTCCTGCGAGTATAAAATGGTAAAGCTAT